CAGGAGGCCTTTAGCCTAGTCAGCTAAGCTGAGTGGAGACACTAGGCGAGCGAGCCATTGCCCTGTGCTCATGCTGCTGCCTAGTAATCCGAACTCAAACATTCAATATAGCCAAAAATGCTAAAGTCGTCTTAACTGGCTCCTGAGAAATGTGTTAGCTGGTTGTTAGCTATTTTACTGGTGAAGTGATTTCACACTGTGTTGTGGCGTAACTGGGTATGTCCTCTAATGTCTCTCGAGGACGTGATGAGTAACGATTTGCATAAATGCTAATGTACATGCTCTACAGCGAGTCCGATTGCTTGATCTGCGCTTGTTAACAGCTCAGCGTCTTGCTGGCTCTGTAATTGGTTTAGCCTCGTGCCGTTTGCTATGTGACCAGTGAATCTCAGCCATACTCAAACAAAGCCAGCCAAGTCAGGGGAAAGTGAATAGCCATAGTGGCTCGGTCAGAGAAAGGGCAACTCCACCAATACTTTACAGCATAACAGTGAATGTCCAGAATCAAAACATTACATGTCGTAAAAGCCTGTGGGAAGAATCAAAGTGCAGGGACCGCACAGTGTCAGTATGTTCTCAGTCGTAATGGATAAAATACAAAGTTCAGTGAGATGATCACCTATTACCTTTTTTACAGTTCAACAAGCGCCTGTTTCTCAGTGGTTTACAGAGAATTTCCACCAGTTTTGAACAGAATAGTTCAGGCTGTGTTGATATGAAATGCTGCATTGTAGAGTTTTTAGATGTAATGTCGATTATTTTGGGTGCTATTTTTGCCTTATGACACCCTGCATGCACTTTTCTGCTATGAATGTATTTTCAGTGTTTTCGGTTAAAAAGAATTATCTCAAAACTTTTAATGTAAAAGCTTTGTGAGGTAGCTTTTGGGGTCATCAAAGGCTTCAGACATTTAGTTCCTATCACCATAACTGTGAATAATTCTGACTCTCTGCAATGGCTTCTCCATAAAAGAGCATCTCAAACAGCTTTGAATGACTTAATTTACACCCTACCACTTGAAAATTGGTAGAATTTACCTTTAAAGGGCTCATATCATTCATTTTACTTGTACTTTATTCTCTCTGAGGTTTATGTGTGACGTTTGTGTTTGCTGAGGTACCGAAAACAGTCATAATTCATTTTTATGACCATTTTTCTGCCTCTTTTTTCCCTCTGTTTAAGCTCTTTTTGTTACTGTACCTTTAAGACTGCAAAATGTGTTTTGCCCTTCATTCAAAAAGTAGCCTAGGCAGAAACACTCCCTATAACTTAAGTGTGAGTCGGCAGGGCTAACCTGCTGTAGGCTGAATAGGTGGATATATAAGTGTGTTCATTTTCATGACTTCACAGAAACAGTGAATTCAAAACGGGCTGTTTTTGGAGCTCAGTTTCTGTATATAGACTGAATGGACTGGAGAATGAATGGCATGTTCTGAGACAGCGTTTACAAGCTACACCAAACAAATTACATTTTCCATAGTATGGGCCCTTTAAGCTCTCCTTCTAGCCTTTATTGAGGCAGACCTACAACAATAGACTCCATCACATCCAGACTTGACCAAGCTGATTCCACTACTGCACTGCTTTTTTACTGTTTTGTTATACTGCTTAACAGCAGGAGGCAGCAGTCCTCATCTCTCCTCAACGCAGTGCACACACACAAACTCAGGAACACACTGCATATTCCACCGACTCTTGTCTTACTCAGCACCCAAAGTTAACAGTCAACACATGTGGAAAAGTCTTAAATAAACTTTTAACTGCTGTGTTTATTGGTCGCTTCTAAGGGTTAGACTTTACACTGTACACTTCTAATGAATGCTGACACAGAGAGAGTCACTGAAGTGGTTTTTCTAAGTGTGTGAGTACAAAGTACAGTTGGGAAAAGATGTTTAGATTAGGTTAACACCAAAAATATGATCTAAGCCATAGATATATTTTGCAGTTTAAACAGTCAATGACAGATGAAATTGCATTTCATGATGATGATGAAAATATATAAACTTGTAATGACCTCTTGAGAAGAGTGTAAGTGGGATAAGAGTCATAACCTCTCCCCTTTGTGAAGCATGGTGGAGGGAGTATGATGGTGTGAGGCAGCTTTACCTGGATGGCTTTCAATCCCTGAGTGACCAGTGCATTCCAAGTTATATGAGGAAACTCCACAGCAGGCAGCGCATCTGTCTGTAATCTAAGGGCGTTTTCACACTTGGGCCGTTTCAGCGTCTGAAGTGCACTCAAGTCGCTGAGTCATGGTTTCTTTTGCATACGTGAACACGGCAAAGAACTCTAAATGGCCCCTCTTGAGGTGGTCTCAGAGGTCTCTGAGATCTCAAAAGACAAGAAAGAAAACAGAGTCCTCTTTATGGTTCACTTACATTACGAACACAAAGTGAACTGAGGTCATTTGCAGTCGGTTCCCTTTCACATTCACTTTAGCAGAACACAGTTCGGTTCTTTTAAAAAGAACTATATGTAAAAAAAAACTGTAAAACACAGACGAAGATGGTGATACAACATGACAGCGATTCAAAAAAGAAGTAAACAATCAACACTGTTATGATATCCAGGATATTCAGTATCTTGTCATGTAATGTCAGTTACCCAGATAGTGCTTTCAGTATTTGCATACTTGCACCTGAAATAGTTAACTGGGTGTTTGAGTACCCGTGCACATCCCCATCTCAAACTAGAAGAAAGGGGAAAAACGGGTCTTAAACTTGAACCCATTGAAATGCTGTATCATGATCTGAAGGAGGCTGGGAAAATATGCATGGACTGAAAAGGTCCTTGACCTTGTATAGGGTCAAAATGTCTCCTAACTGCTGTGCAGAGCCAGGCATCACCTATAGAACACCTTTAGTTGAGGTTATTACCAAAAAAGTTAAAATATTTCTTAAGTATAAAGAGGTGAAAAAGGGTGATATGGGTTTGGTTAAGTGTGCTACTATTTCCCAATAGATCTTCCATTTTAGGAGCATTTTGTGCAGAAATCCTGAAAATTACAAAGGGTTCACAAAAATGTTCTCACTCTTTTCTCACCTTTGGGTTAATCAGTTATCTCTTCACATGTCATGGTAATAGTTGTGAATGGGTGTCTGTTATTCTGAGTATGTGGCAGTTGCATGACGTCCTGGGTGAGAAGCCTCAGAAATAGTGTTAACCATACTTACTGTGTGTTGGATGAAGCCTTTCTGATCAAGCTGATTTATGGGCTCATCTCTGTTAGAATACTCGCACAAACACCCTCGAGAACTCAGACATACAGGCACGCACAACTCAAACTCGACAAAGGAGCTCATTCTCTTTCCCCAGAGACCCCTCCATCACCTTCCGTTCAGGACAGCTGTCCAATTACCCATCAGCACCAGCAAGAAAACACGTCTCAGAGCTCCACCGTAGGCCCTGCTTTACAGCCTTATTTACAGTTTGAGTCGTGTACGTCGTCACGATCCTGGAACATAACAGAATTCACTCCAAAACATTTTGTAATTTATGTCAACACTGTCATAGAAGTGTGCTGCCACAATTTGTAGCTAACATGGCTACATGGCTACTTTGTAATTAGATGACTTAAGTGCTGCCAGATGTGAAACCCAGGCTTAGTTTTGGGGCAGAAATGTTGGTGGTGTGGAAAAAAACATGGTGAATAGCTATGATTAATGCAGGCAGATGTAGTTGTGTCTACACAGCAGTACGAAGAAAAAAACGTGGATAATGCTTAGTTAGCCAGAATTTCTAGCATTTAACATCACTATACTTTGCAGTTTGTTTTTCATATGTTAGAAATAATTACTAATAGTTAATTAATACAAAGACTTGACTGTTACTGTTACAGAATTAAGGTACATTTGACCACACATTAATGACTAAATCTGAGGTGCTCAGTCCGGGTCCTGAGATCTGCTACCCTGTAGAATCCAGACCCAACACACCAGGCTCGAATGTTCAGATGCCCCTGAAGACCTTCATTAGCTGGATCAGGTGTGTTAGATTAGTGTTGGACTCTGCAGGGCGGCAGATCTCCAGGAGCAGGATTGAGCACCCCTGGGGTAAATAATGTTAATGAATAAGTGAGTCATTCTATGGAAGCGTTTACAGATATATTACACTTGAAAAACATGTTAGGGTTACAATTTATTCATATTTTAAAATAAAACAATGTTATTTTAACAATCACACCTTATTAATCCATCAATTTAGCAGTATTGGTTTTTAAATCAATCATGTAGAATTCCAAGCACCACAAAAGAGCTCATCCCCACAGTCATGTGTGAAGGCTGAGGCCATATTTTGAGGTAAAAAAAAAATGTTTTTTGCAGTTTTAACTACAATAATCTATACATGACTATGAAATATATGATTTAAATGACATAAAGAAAACAAATGCCAAATAAATAAAGTATATAATGAAAGTTGTTGTCCCCAGGAGTCGTGTCACTGGTGTTACTGCGTAACAAAAATCTCTTATTTTGAAATAAAAATCACACTGATGACATCACTCGACTTCCTTTTACCTTTTTTCCAAGAATCTATGTAGAAAAGCACATGGTGAGTCCACTGTGTCTTTCAGTTATCATACATTTTCTCATTTAGCTCATGATTTCATATGGAGCTTTTAGCTGAAGTCACTGGTGTGACCGACTTTATTCTTAGGTAACTGTGAAAAAAATAGAACACAAATGGATTAAATTACATATTTTAGTGTATATTCCATGATTGACAACATGTGGTTTGATGCTCTGCCATTTTATAAAATGCATTTGTCATTAAAAATGTCTCTGGTGTTACCTTTCTTATGTGTAACACCAATGACGATTGGTAACACCAGTGACCCCTATGGAGAGATAGAAAAGTGGACGTGTCTGTAGAATGACCCAAATAAAAATAACATCTATTCGATATCACAGTACAGTGATATTCGCAGTGTTCATTGAGATAATATTTCATATACTGTGTTTCCCAGCCTTACATTTTTTTTCACTTCTATGCACCATCAGAGATATCAAGCCAGACAACATCCTGATGGACATGAACGGTCACATCCGCTTGGCTGACTTCGGCTCCTGCCTCAAACTCATGGAAGATGGAACGGTGAGTCCATAGCCATCTGTGTTCAAACAGATGCTTCAGTATTGAGTCCTGACTTCAGTCTCTAGAGCTTGAGTGTGATTTGTCCTCTCAGTTAGATGTGTTTAAGCCTTTGGCAGCCTATCAGAGATGGTAGGCATACAAGCAGAATGTAAGCGTGAGTTTACAGGTTTATTAAAGGAACCAAAATGCTGAGGAAAAACAAATATTGCAATGAACAACGAAACAAACGTGAGAACATATAAAGTGATGCACATGAAGAGATGCAAGACCCAGACAGAGAAACGCAGAAACAAAAGGGCTGCTGATACAAGAGACGAGACTAGAAAATCTTGGGTAAAGAAGGGGATGCAAACTCCACACAGGTGACAGCAGTAACTAAGGGGCGGAGCTAGAATGACAGAGTGGGATTGAGTAGACTGAGGTAGTGTTGTAGTACTAGAGTCCAGTCGTGGTCTCGGTCTGGTCTGGTTTCAATCTTGTCACAGTCTCAACATCTTTTGGACTCGGTCTTGTCTCGGTCTCAGCCTCAGGCTAAGGTGGTGTTGTTCATTGATTCCAAACCCAAACATCTCTTAAGGGCAGATGAGAATGTTGTTATTACTTCCTTCTCATTTAATGATTAAAATGGATGCGTGTTGTTTGGTTTATATTCAGTTGACTGTAGGTGATGATTCTGAATATGTTTTAGAGGAGAAGGACTGAGAATAACCTCACTATCTCTAGCTTCGAACAGTTACAGTGCACAGTTGGACTATGACTATAGTATAATAATAATTAATAACATTTTTAGGTTCTATATTTGTGCTGCAATGCACAAAATATATTCTAAAATATAATATTATTTACTATTATACAGCAGTTAATTGTATATTAACTTTTGTATATTAACTGAGAAGTGTTTTTTTCACAAACACTGACAAAACACAAACAAATCACTCCGCTGAGACACTGTTGCTAAGCAATGACTTTGAGCGCTGTAGGACACGCTCAAGACATTTGAACGTTTTTACTTCTTACTTTGCCACAAACAGAAAATGGACACTTTTAAGATCACATTTGACCGACAGCCGATTTGGTCAGACTCTGAAAATGAGACAACACTAAATTCCCAAACTGTCATCACCACTGAGCAGCTTTTCAGTCGGCAGCTGTGACAGAAGAACTGTGAGTCCAGTCTAGAGTTAGGAGTGGAGTCAGACCATGGAAAGCGTAACACACTTTTTTGGGCATGTTTTGCAAATCGAATATCCATCCTGTCTTCTATTTAGAATTTTAGAATTTAGATATTTAGAAAGCTCCCATGCTGCTTATTAAAGATATTTACTCCATCTGTTGTCCATAAGCTGAGTTTTTATCGGAATGCTTGTGTACATGTGATTCGAATGCGCACCCACGTTCTAGCACAAGAGTACTTTTTCCGGACAGCATGAAGCACAAAGCTCCTAAAACAAGATTTTACCATAACTCCTAAAAAAAACTGTAAAATTTTTAATTGTAATTAATAATGAAATTTCCACATCTCTAATCTGACTGTGTGGTCCTGTCTTTCATTAGGTGCAGTCCTCTGTCGCCGTGGGAACACCAGACTACATATCCCCCGAAATCTTGCAGGCCATGGAAGATGGGAAGGGCAAATACGGGCCTGAATGTGACTGGTGGTCTTTAGGTGTGTGTATGTATGAAATGCTCTACGGAGAGACGCCCTTCTACGCTGAATCACTGGTGGAGACCTACGGCAAGATCATGAACCACAAAGTGAGCTCACTGCATCTTAATGTTGCTAATGTTGATGGTTTTAATAGAACTAGAACACAGTTTTTGCATGACCTTGTGTGCTCTGTATTCATTTTAATGATTGCCTTCTTCTTTTAGTTCTTTTAGTTAAGCAAAAAAAAAAACTTCCTTTTATTTAATGTAGTCGATCAGCTAAGATATGTTTGGTGTCCAGAGTTTTCTCTGTTAGCTCTGCACTGGGGCTACAAGGCAAATGGAATCAAATCAGAAAACACAAACACAGGTCTGTATAGGATCAGTTCAAATCTAAACGCAGTTTGAGTCAAGTGTGTGACCATTGAGGCAAGTGTGTGACGGTGCTGTTTGCTAGGGAATCATCTTCCATGACTTGTTAGCTGTATTATTGTAACTGCAATGCAAAGTAGATACTTTAGACACCAAACACATCTTGGCTGATCAATTATGCACACAAATGTACACAATTTTCCATTTACCCTAGATGTAGTTGGTCAGCCAAGATGTGTTTGGTGTCCAAATTTTGCTTCTTCGGTTCAGAAATGAAGCTACGAGTCTAACATTGCTAACAAACATTAGAAGTCAATAGTCACCCAAAACCTGTTTCAGCTCCTTGAGGCCACCGGTGGTTCCAAAACGCACTTCGTCATATTCTTCATAACTTTCATATTTCATAAGCTACATTCAGAAGGTGGGGGTCATATGAGAGCTGTAACTGTCTTCTTTCCAGTCAAATAGATGGGTGATGTAATTTTAAACCCTTATAATAAAAGAAACTGAACTCTCAATTTTTTTGTCTACTGAAAGTCGACCCATTTCTCCACAAATCTGGGCTGTAAACTAAACAGATGGCGTCTCTTCAGTGATCTGCTCTGTAAAAAATATTATTATAAAATAATACAAAGAGCGTCTAAGATTTTGGGCTTTCGGCAGTAAATTGTAAGCATATAGCAATATGTGTGATCATAAAACACGTTCTGTTAATTTGAGGGGAGCTTTTACAAAAAATAAAATAAATAAATAAAATAAACATTTACCTTTATTTCATGCAGTTACTGAATAATTTGCCTTACGATTTGGTCAAGTAAAGTCAGATGGAAAAACAAAATATTTCCTGGTTAATAAGAGGTTAAACCACATCCAGGTCTTCATTAAAGGCACAGACTTTAGTGTAACCGTGCGTCTTTATGGTCAGTCTGCGCAACCTTAATGAAGACCTAGATGTGGTTTGAGTGGGTGGAGAGAAGCCACTTTTGGGGGGGGGGTGTTTATGGAAAAAGATTTGGGTGAGTGTTCACTTCTAGTGCTTGTTAGCAATGTTAGCCTAATAGCTCCAGTGCTTAACTAAAGAACCTAACATCTGATCCACTACATCCTGGGGAAATAATTAGCATAATTGAATGCCTGTTATTTAAATTACCCAGTTTTAGTTTTGCTTTAAACACTCTCTTTGTTTTTCCTTCACTATTTTCTGGATTAGTCATCTCACCCTCTGAATGAGGTAATTAACCCTTCATACTAAGGTTGATTGTGGTTTATTGTTTATTAGTTATTTAGTACACAAGTACAATGAGTACAGTAGCACTTGACTTGACCCTTGACCTGCTGTACACTAGCTTCCTTAGCCTGAATTTGGTTTAGCCGCACTCATGGCCGATTTGATCTGTGTGTGTTTGTGTGTTTTCTCTTCAGGAGAGGTTCCAGTTCCCGGCACAGGTGTCAGACGTGTCGGAGGAGGCGAAGGACCTGATGCGAAGGCTGATCTGTTCTCGTGAGCACCGGCTGGGCCAGAACGGCATTGAGGACTTTAAAAGGCACCTGTTCTTCTCAGGCATCGACTGGGACAACATCCGCACCTGTGAGGCCCCCTACATCCCCGAAGTTAGCAGCCCCACCGACACCTCCAACTTCGACGTGGAAGACGACTGCCTCAAGAACTCGGTTCGTTCTGGAGGTTTCATTTCTGTTTCCCATCAGCGAGATGATCTGAGATCAGTCGGTCCTTTGAAAGCCTTTTTCTAAAAATGTAACATACCTTATAATTGATAAAGACTAGTAGCAGCTTGTTAAAAGAAAACTACTGATGTGCCTCTGCTGGTTTTCATTGCTTATTAGCTACGTTAGCTTATTTTGTTTGAATAAGAACGTTTCAATTTTGTGCTGATGATTATTGACACCGATCAGGCAAAACATTATGACCACCTCCTTGTTTCTACGCTCATTGTCCATTTTATCAGCTCCATCATTGGATCAGACACAGCAGTGCTGCTGGAGTTTTTAAACTGTGTCCACTCACTGTCCACTCTATTAGACACACCTACCTTGTCAGTCCACCTTGTAGATATAAAGTCAGAGTCGATAGCTCATCTGCTGCGGCACAGTTTGTGTTGGTCATCCTCTAGTCCTTCATCAGTGGTCACAGGACGCTGCCCACAGGACGCTGTTGGCTGGATATTTTTGGTTGGTGGACTATTCTCAGTCCAGCAGTGACACTGAGGTGTTTAAAAACTCCAGCAGCACTGCTGTGTCTGATCCACTCAGACCAGCGCAACACACACTAACACACCACCACCACGTCAGTGTTACTGCAGTGCTGAGAATGATCCACCACCCAAATAGTACCTGCTCTGTGAGGGTCCATGGGGGTCCTGACCACTGAAGAGCAGGGTAAAAGGGGGCTAACAAAGTATGCAGAGAAACAGATGGACTACAGTCTGTAACTGTAGAACTACAAAGTGCACCTATATAGTAAGTGGAGCTGATAAAATGGACAATGAGCGTAGAAAGGTCATAGGTCATAATGTTATGCCTGATCGGTGTGTACCAATCATAAAACCATACAGTTTTAAACTGGAGTTCACTAAGGATGTGATAGAACAGAGACAATGTTAAAACAATGAGCCAAGCTGCATCAAGCAGCAGGGGGAACGCATTGGAGTTTGTGGGGCGGCTTATGAATGCAAAACGGATTTAGCTCGGCATATTTCAACTTTGCTAAGCTGGAACAATCATTTTGTAATGTTGTCAAGCATAGCTAGGTTTTCTTCTGTGGCAGTGACTATTCTGTCAGTAGCTTCTGGCCAGCAGCAGTCCAGGCGAAGATTGCAGTGCACTCTCAGACAGATGCACTCTCAGCCCCAGTGACGTCACGTGCACATGCACTCTCAGCCCCAGTGACGTCACGTGCACATGCACATGCACTCTCTGCCACAGCGGCAGAAACAGCCCAACTTTTGGCTGCTTCTGCTTAGCAATATCATCACTTAATCCATTTTCATCCATTACTCAGCTAGAGAATTCCATTTAATGTACCTCCCTGTTGAAAAAAGTCCTATTAACCCATTAAAAAAGTGTCTGCTTTTCTGTAAAGCTGCTTTGAGACAATACTAGCGGTAAAAAGCGCTATACAAAAAAATGTTGTTGTTGTTGTTGTCTGTTGGTTCCTGGTGGTTTTCAGTAGTCGCTAATAGTGTTCTGTGCTTTCCTGATGGGTTGATATCACAGTGTAAAGGATTCTAATCATTTAAGCAGGTGTTGCCCAACAGTACGTGATTTGCTGTTTTTCCCTCATAAAACCAAGAGCGGCACTGACGTCATTAATAGGCTGGCGGTGCAGGTCAGGCTGAGAGTGCATGTCTGCAGCCAGACCCTTCTCGAAGACTGAGTTCCCTTTTTGGATTTGATGTTAAAAAGTTTTTGTAAAACTTTGATTTGTTGACAGACCAAGAGTCTTTCAGCGGTATATGATGAAGACTTGCTTCCTGCAGACTCTTGAAAAATACAGGCACATTGACAGATTCCAAATAAACGCATTTGTCAGTTTTACAGAAAACGTAGCTCCTTACCAAAGTAGCAGTGCCCGTCGCACTCTGATTTGGTTGAGGTGGGGGCGTGGCTATGATTGCATAGTGCAGACATAGCCCCACCCCCTAAAAATCCAAACAGCACAGAGGAACTGTGGGAGATTTAGGGATATAGGTTCTGGAATAAAAATGATTTGACTACATGACGGGTCCCCTTTTGCAAGCCGTTTCTGAAGTGGGTGTGCTGCAGTAGTGGAAAACGATTGAAATGTGCGAGGCAGGGCTACTCCAGGACCTGGACAGTTAATAGAGCATTTCAATACTGCTTGATTCAGAACAAGGCAGGTCAGAAACACCATCAGTTATATTGATTCCATTCCGTTCTGTCCACTGTTGGATTTTCAGGCAGTTCTCAGTGCAAACAGTAGATTAAAGAAGTGTTCATTAATACTGCCTTGTTATTTTAGGAGACAATGCCACCACCCTCCCACACGGCCTTCTCCGGACACCACCTCCCCTTCGTCGGCTTCACATACACTAGCACATGGTAAGCATTTAAAGTTTACTTCGTAATGCAGTCATAGGGAAAGCTGCACTGATGTAATGTATGTATTAACATTAATGAGAGACTAACCCCTGTGACAGTTACCTGTAATCTTATATCCACTGGTTTAGAATGGAAAGTGGATTTGATTGGACATCTTTCTGCAAGTGTGTGTTTGTCTAAAATTTGCCTTCTGCAGATATTTGATATGTGAGACTTGGTCAAAAAAATGTTGTATCCCATTTGTTGGGTTTAGTGATGTGTGTCTGTTTAAAAACAGTGGTTCCTGCTGCTGATGCTGCTTGTGTGTGTGTGTGTGTGTGTGTGTGTGTGTGTGTGTGTGTGTGTGTGTGTGTGTGTGTGTGTGTAGCTCTCTGTCAGACCGCGGCTGTCTGCGGGAGGCCAGTGGTTCTGACCAGGTGGATGCTGGGATACAGAGGAGTTTGGAGGACAGCCTGGCCTCTGAAGCCTACGAGAGAAGGATCCGCCGCCTGGAGCAGGAGAAGACCGAGCTCAGCCGCAAACTTCAGGGTGAACAGAAACACACACACACACACACACACACACACACACACACACACACACACACACACACACACATACACATACACATTTACACATATTATTACATATTGTTTTTACACAGTATCAGCCTGTGGGGGTCATACACACAGTACTGTGCAAAGGTCAGAGTAAATACATTTGTTTTATGTCTGTCACAGTCGCCTATAAAAGGAAGGGGACATTTTTTTGTATAGTTTTTTGTTTGTTTGTTTTGTCTAATACAACAAATCTGTCTTATATGCTACGTAAATATGCAATAGATATGCTTTTATTCCTAATCCCTCATAATTTCATTTATGGCTATTTTTCTATTTCTGTCTAATTTATGTAAGTCTATCTATCTGTCTGTATGTCTGTATGTCTGTCTGTCTGTCTGTCTATTATCTATCTACCTATCTGTCTGTCTGTCTGTCTATCTGTCAGCTATCTATCTATCTATCTATCTATCTGTCTATCTGTCTATCTATCTATCTATCTGTCTATCTGTCTATCTATCTATCTATCTATCTATCTATCTATCTATCTATCTATCTATCTATCTCTCTTTTCAAAACTGGACAAAAATGATAAAGATGTAGAGAAAGATGTAGAGAAGTGTGTAGAGAAGTGTGTAGAGAAGTGTGTAGAGAAGGGTGTAGAGAAGTGTGTAGAGAAGGGTGTAGAGAAGTGTGTAGAGAAGTGTGTAGAGAAGGGTGTAGAGAAGTGTGTAGAGAAGTGTGTAGAGAAGTGTGTAGAGAAGTGTGTAGAGAAGTGTGTAGAGAAGGGTGTAGAGAAGTGTGTAGAGAAGTGTGTAGAGAAGTGTGTAGAGAAGGGTGTAGAGAAGGGTGTAGAGAAGTGTGTAGAGAAGGGTGTAGAGAAAGATGTAGAGAAGGGTGTAGAGAAAGTAGGACTCTTAACAACCGTGCAAGACCTGGTTTATCTGTCACCATCAGATAAACAGCACCTAAAGCTCTGAGAGAGAGAGGAGAAAATTAAGCTCCACTCTTCTTTGAGATCTGAAAATCCACAGGTGTCCATCCTTCCACTGTGAAAAGACGACTCGACAATACGAGTCTGAAAGGATGTGTAGCTATTAAGAAGCCATTAATGAGAAAAAGAAATAGACCGAATGGGAGAACATTTGCAAAGACCTAAACATCACTGAATGAGTTTGAGATTACTTGGATTTGCTTGGAGAAGCAGAAAATACAGAAATTGCCAATCAACTTCTAAGATTGAACTTTGGAGGTGTGGAAAAATATCCCTGCAGATTTTTTTTTGACTGAAAGTGAGTCTCCTGAAAAGAATGGAAGCTGTAATAAAGGCAAAGTGTGGACACAAATACTGAAAATTGGATTTTAAATTTCATTGTTGAGGCTTCTGTGTATTTTTCTTTTTAAATATATTTGTTCCACTTTATTATGTGACGCTAAAAATGAATAACTTGTAGTTAATGACAGTTTTGGAAATCAAATAAATACAGGGTGGTCTCTGACTTTTGCACAGTACTGTACGTCTCTTATGTATTATTTATTTATTAGTATCTGTGTTTATTAAGTATTTTCTAAGTCTAACTCTAAACCTAATCCTGGTCTTGGCTTCAACAAAGTGTTTTTCATTGTCAGTTTTGAAAGCAGTGAAACACAGAGCTCCTAGAAAATGTATGAACACACACACACTGTCTGAACTCAGACAGATACTGACTGTGACTCATCCTCTGTGCCTCAGAGTCCACCCAGACGGTGCAGGCTCTGCAGTACCCCAATTCAGATGTGCCAGTCAGTGCCAACAAAGAGGTGGAGATAAGGAGCCTGAAGAGTGAAATAGACATCTTGAAAAAGCAGATAGCAGGTAACAGATTCACACAGACAGGTGATTCAGTTCAGTCTCTGCAGTAGTTGCCTCTTTATTAGGTACACCTACCTTGTATCTGCACTTGCTGGCCATTTTACGAGGCAGTTGCTTTAGCCTTTTTGACTGACCGTAGTCTGTAGACTGTATCTGTTGCTGCACAGTTTGTCAGCCGCCCTCTACCTCGTCTTTCAATAGACTGGGACCACCATGGCACCACTGCAGTGGCACTGACACTAACACATCTGGCGTAGCAGTGCTGCTGGAGCTTTTACTTGCCTCAGTGTCTCTGCTGAGTTGAGAATAGTACAGCGATCAAAAAATATCCAGCCTCCTTTGGACCTGTGGTCAGAAACTGACCACGGATGAAGGGCTAGAGTATGTCAGGGCACAGTACTGCAGACGCCAGCTTTCTGACTCATTAAACACCCGATTCAACTCATCAGCTAATTGGAAAGTTTCTTGATTCAGATTGTTAGAAGAGGGGAAACACTGAACTCTGCAGAGCTGTGGTCTGGAAGGAACCTAGTTTGACATGCTTGGGCTAAAGGATGACTAAACCTGGGGTTACACTACACAACCTTTACCCCGATTTTAGCCCCGATTCTCAGTCTGGCTGAGTCTATGCTAGTTGGCTCTAGTCTGCAGATTTCTGGGTCAGTCAGAGTCGACAGTTGGCGAGAGAATCGAGTCACTTGTGAGGAAGCAGACTCAGATTTTTGCCCTTCCAATCGGAGTTTATTAAACATGTTTGATTTTTTTTGACCTGACTCTGAACGTAATCTTGTGTAAATTGGTCAGCGACTCAATCTGAACGGATTCCTGCAACAGCCAATGAGAACTGAGAGCGTGAAAGAAGACAATACAGCAAGTAAACAAAGAACAATAGTCAAAAGTCACTCACGTGTGGAGCGAAGCTTTTTAATCAGCTGAGTTTAAGGCAGAATCGGGTTTATGTACATTTAAAACTCTAAAAATACCAAACTGATCACAATGTTAAATCCATGAGTCTCACTTAAACATGTTTACCTGCTGCTTCTTTACTGTTGTCAGCGCAAATGGCAGAGAAAACAGCAGAAGCAGCTCCACGTTTGTTTATTTTGGTCTCCTAGTAACATGAGAACATGAGAGTTTGCATGAGAAAAATCTGCAAAAACCAGTCAGATGCTGTGAGATGGCCAGTCTTTTGTAATCTGTTCAGATTTACAAGTTGTGTAGTGAACCCAACACTTAACACAAACTGTGCATAGAAGGAGATTATCTTTTGTCTCTAATTGTACACCTGCAAGGTTTACCAAGAAGGATCTGTATAAAAAAGTGGCCAATGACATTAAATCAGTGACGTTTCTAAAGACTACCAAGTGATAATTTGTCTTATCTCAGATTCTGGTCAGCTGGAACAGCAGCTGGAGGAAGCCAGCATTGCACGTCGGGATCTAGAAGACTCCTCCAAGGTCATCAAGTCTCTGGAAAAGCAGCTAAAGAGCGTCATGCAAGAGAAAGATGACATGCATAAGGTGAGAAATCTGTCTCTGCGTGGTTCTGTCACTCTTAAAAAGATGGTGCTTCAGGGTTTTTTTAGTGAAGAAAATGGTTCTATAGAGAACCATGAACACTCAAAGAACCCTTTGCATGATTAAAATGTTCTTTGCATCGTGCAGGCGTTCTTCAGACCGATGGAGAATGTGCTATAGACAGTTCTGTATAGAACCTTTTTGAAAATGGTTGTATGTAGCACCCAAAAGAGTTCTTCTATTACTATGGTAACAACAGAAGAACTCTTTTGGGTTCTATATAGAACCCTCTATAGCATATTCATGCACACTTTCCATCAATCCAAAGAACACTTTTGTAATGCAAAGAACCCTTTAATCATGCAGAGGGTTCTGTGAGTGTTCATGGTTCTATATAGAACCATTTTCTTGACTGAAGAACCCTTGAAGCACCATCTTTTTTTGTGTATAATGCAGACCACTAGCATGGCTGACCGCCAAACCCCAAAATGTTTCTGAATCACCATCACATCTTGTGATTTCATTCACCGTATCATTTCCCAAGATTTCTATGCAGGTATGTGGTTTTAATGTGATATTTTGTGCGTTTAGGTTGTAGATTCATGCTGTAATCACAACTTATAAGTGGGCTAAAGCTCTGTTCTCTGTGCTTTTCTGTATTTGACTCAAAAAAAATCATTTGGCCACCTAGCGTGTCTACATATTCTTAAATGGTAAACATTGCATTTGGATTTATTTTGATCATAACAGCCTCTGGTAATGTATTATGGGCTATTTATATTCCATTTAAGCAATGGAACACAAGAGGGAGTGTGTTATCCTGAAATAACATCACGGCTGTGATTTGGTCGCCGTAGATCATCACAGCCGTGATGTTATTCGCGATAACACACTCCTCGAGTGTTTTATTGATTTTATACAACAGTTAAATAAATAAAGTAATAAATAAATAAATTGGGTCATGAACGCGGCATTTAATGTGTTTTAATGTTCGCAGTTCCTTCACCAAATTATAGTTCCTTAACAAGCAGCTTGTTGCTACATCAGAGTAACGAGCTCTGCTCACTCGCTGCACAGCCAGCAGTTCGTTCTCCAGCTCCTTACACTAAATTCCCAAACTGTCATCACCACTGAGCAGCTTTTCAGTCGGCAGCTGTGGCAAAAGAACAGCTAAACAACCTGGAATCAGCCAGAAATTAACCGAACACCATTTGCCAAACATGTAGTCTGATCTTCAGAGTCTGACCAACTTGGACTGAGCCATAAAACTGCCGCAATATCAAGTTCAGCTCAGTTTTGTCAATTTTTTGTATTGGGTTCATTTCTGGCTGATTCCAGGTTGTTTAGGTGTTCTTCTGTCACAGCTGCTGACTGAAAAGCTGCTCAGTGGTGATGACAGTTTGGGAATTTAGTGTAGTCTCATCTTCAGAGTCTGACCAAATCGGTCAGCAACGGCGTCTCAGCGGAGTGATACGGTATTTGTGAAAAAAAACGTGCTGTTATGGAGAAATAACAGCACAGTTAGAACGCTTCTCAACCAATCAGCTTGCATGGCCGGAACTAAATGTTGTGTAAAGGTATATATTGGAGCAATTTACTGATTCGGAAACACTAACAGCCATGTCCAGTTGTTATAACGGGCCTGTTAGATAGTTAGCAAAGCCTTCAAGTGGTCTGTCCTAAAAGGAATAGGTGCTTTCTTGTCTTACCTGTTAGATTGACTCTCCTCAGCTGTTAGCATGGCCTCTGCTGCTGTTAGAAAACCTCTCCCTCAGTTGTGGTACCTACTGATAGGTAATGATAAGGTTGGAGGGACGAACCTTATCGAACCGTTTTGTTGCTGGAAAGCTAGAAATCTCTTCCTTAGATGAACATGATGACACATGCTATAGTTAATAATATGCCTTTTCTAGCCTTAATAGCATTTATCTCTGTTACTTTAAAGGCTGTTTACAGAGGAACAGTCCTGTTTGTCTATTTTTGGTGTCAGTTGGTGCTGCATCGTGCCAGAGGTTTGAGAAAAAAACATGTTTTTACCATCAAAGCCATTTCAGAGAACAAAGCGAGAAAAAAAAAAACATGGCAGAGAGTCTTTGGGCGTGATTCAGAAATGAGAGAGGACTCGGCTCCCAAAAATCACTGCGGCCGCTTGACGTTCCCAGTCTGTACACTCCTATTCACTAGCTCGACCCTTTCAAACTCCTAAACAGAATCAGTTCATAAACAGTCTATCCACAATCATCCACTAACTCCTTCCCTTCAGACTCTCAAGCATGAATACAGAACTAGCCACAGCAGTTGATGGAGCAGGGTGTATATTGTTTGACATGACAGAGTTGCAGAATATAAAACATTTGATTCTGAAAAGGCCATAAAAACATTATAAACAAATATTTAACCAAAGTTCTCTGGGAAGGTGACAGAAGAGAGGCGATGACACAAACAGACAGCTAGGTGAAGGCATGAGGGGAAGCACACACTGGAGTCTATGAGATCAGCTTCAAAATGAAAAAGAATTTACAGTTTATTTCTGGCTTTACTTAGATGAGACAAACACATTGTTATCAAGCAAATACCTTTTCCAGTAGCATTGGTACACCGATCAGGCAAAACATTCTGACCACCTCCTTGTTTCTACGCTCACTGTCCATTTTATCAGCTCCACTTTGTAGTTCTACAGTTACAGACTGTAGTCCATCTGTTTCTCTGCATACTTTGTTAGCCACCTTTTACCCTGTTCTTCAGTGGTCAGGACCCCCATGGACCCTCACAGAGCAGGTACTATTTGGGTGGTGGATCATTCTCAGCACTGCAGTAACACTGATGTGGTGGTGGTGTGTTAGTGTGTGTTGCGCTGGTCTGAGTGGATCAGACACAGCAGTGCTGCTGGAGTTTTTAAACACTGTGTCCACTCACTGTCCACTCTATCAGACACCCCTACCTTGTCAGTCCACCTTGTAGTCCTTCATCAGTGGTCACAGGACGCTGCCCACAGGACGCTGTTGGCTGGATATTTTTGGTTGGTGGACTATTCTCAGTCCAGCAGTGACACTGAGGTGTTTGAAAACTCCAGCAGCACTGCTGTGTCTGATCCACTCGTACCAGCGCAACACACACTACCACACCACCACCACGTCAGTGTTACTGCAGTGCTGAGAATGATCCACCACCTCTGTGAGGGTCCATGGGGGTCCTGACCACTGAAGAACAGGGTAAAAGGTGGCTAACAAAGTATGCAGAGAAACAGATGGACTACAGTCTGTAACTGTAGAACTACAAAGTGCACCTATATAGTAAGTGGAGCTGATAAAATGGACAATGAGCGTAGAAACAAGGAGGTGGTCATAATGTTATGCCTGATTGGTGTAAATCTGTCAGCAATGCCAACTCACTTATTAGTTATTGACAGTTACAGGCAGCCCACCTTCAGCTCAGCTTTGCCCCTTTCTAGGGGTAGGGTGTCCCAATTTTTGTTGAGATAGAGGGGTAGGGCGAAGTGTCAGGGCTACATGGCCCTCCAAACGGAGGTTTTTTTTTAAAATTATGATAACCTTTGTTTTATCATAATGTTGTTTCATGTATTATGGTCTTTTTCTTCATAACAAGCATAAAATTGCAATTACTATGCTAATGTCTCAGTAGCTAGGTAGCTAAATTTCCCGTTCCACCTTAAATAGTCCAGCAGTATTGATGCCTGAAGACCCATAGTGTTACTGCTGCTCCATTTAAGGTGGAACGGGCAAATTTGAAAGAGAAGCTGGCGAAAAAAAAAAAAAAGACTTCAGCTTTATATCAGCAAAGAGTTAGTGGTGGGTGATAATGAATCATTTTCACATCCCCCCTCTTTGAAAGCATATGATGCCCTAAATGTAACTAAAGCCCAGCAGGGAGGAGCTGAACTTTACCCTCCTCTGCTATCACTGCAGACTGGCAGGGTCGCCTACAGAGCAGCACTAGTAGCTGTTAATGGAGTGATGTCCTTTTTTTATTTGAGGGTCCCATTTCATAGAGGAAGATTTCAACCACTACCCCTTGCGACTCAGTTCCGAGGGGCAAGGTGACACTCAGAAACAAGGGGTAGGGGTAAAAATAAGAAATGGGATTGGGCCCAAAACTACAATGTCGACTGCAAAACGAAAACGAAATAAAATGATTCAGAAAAAAAGTTTTTTTTTTTGTTTCTCATTCAGAAAAAAGCTGAGCTCAGTCTACTGTTGTGATAATTCTGTCTTTATCAAATACCTGCTCTCCCCGCATCTATCCTAATACCAAACACTAAAACTGAAATGAAATAAAAACCAATCTAAACTTTTTACTTCTCAAAATATAAAAATCTAGGTTAAAACTATTAGTGCGCCTTTAGGATTAACTGAAAATAAACTGCAATTAAAACCAGAATGTCTCTGTGCTTCTCCAGGGGCTGCTGGAAGCGGAGGAGAAGATGAAGGCTCAGGGGAAAGACCTAAAGGAGGCGCACAGTCAGAGGAAGATGGCCATGAAGGAGTTCTCTGAGCTGAGCGAGCGTCTCACCGAGCAGCGCTCGCACAGTCAGCGGCTGGCCCGTCAGCTGCGTGACAAGGAGGAGGAGATGGAGGGCCTGGCTCAGAAGGTGGAGAGCCTGCGACTGGAGGTGCGCAAAGCCGAGAGAGCACGCAAAGAGGTAGGAGAGTCTCTCCTGTGGTTTAAGGCTAATGGGCTAAAGAGCTTAGCCTCATTTAACCTCTCTGAAACTCACAAGCTTATTTGATACGTCTGGTTTGCTGTTGTTTCTCTGTTCTGTGTGTAGCTTGGGTGCCAGGTCTCACGACTCTCTTGTGAGAGTTTGAAGTTTCATTGCGCTCACCTGGTTCTCTCCCAGGGTACAAGGTTCTCGTGTGTTCCTCCTATTTTAGGATCAATGTTCAATTTCCTTTTTCTTTTTTCATTATCAAAAAACTGCTGCGCGAAGCTAGCCAGCTAACAGCTACTAGGTCAGTAGAGGGTAACTCTCTACTGTAGGGTACTGTTCATAAGGCTACATAAGCTTGTCATGACCACTGACATAACCCTACATACATGCTTATTCCGAGGCATCATTTGCTGTAAAGGTTACATTTGCCAGTTTTGATCAATGTTAGCTAAGGTAGCCTTTATAACAGATGATGCCTATTGGAATAAACCTTTATAAACATTTATGTAGGTTACATTTGGCAGTTTAATCAATGTTAGCTAAGGTAGCCTTTATAACAGATGACGCCTATTGGAATAAACCTTTATAAACATTTATTTAGGTTACATTTGCTAGTTTTGATCAATGTTAGCTAAGGTAGCCTTTATAAAAGATGACGCCTATTGGAATAAACCTTTATAAACATTTATTTAGGTTACATTTGCTAGTTTTGATCAATGTTAGCTAAGGTAGCCTGTATAACAGATGACGCCTATTGGAATAAATGTTTATAAACATTTATGTAGGTTACATTTGCCAGTTTTGATCAATGTTAGCTAAGGTAGTCTTTATAACAGATGACGCTTATTGGAATAAACGTTTATAAACATATATGTAGGTAACATTTGCCAGTTTTGATCAATGTTAGCTAAGGTAGCCTTTATAACAGATGACGCCTATTGGAATAAACCTTTATAAACATTTATTTAGGTTACATTTGCTAGTTTTGATCAATGTTAGCTAAGGTAGCCTGTATAACAGATGACGCTTATTGGAATAAATGTTTATAAACATTTATGTAGGTTACATTTGCCAGTTTTGATCAATGTTAGCTAAGGTAGTCTTTATAACAGATGACGCTTATTGGAATAAACGTTTATAAACATATATGTAGGTTACATTTGCCAGTTTTGATCAATGTTAGCTAAGGTAGCCTTTATAACAGATGACGCCTATTGGAATAGACGTTTATAAACATTTATATAGGTAACATTTGCCAGTTTTGATCAATGTTAGCTAAGGTAGCCTTTATAACAGATGACGCCTATTGGAATAAACGTTTATAAATATTTATGTAGGGTTATGTCAGTGATCATGCCTAACTTATGTAGGTGTCATGTAGCCTTATGAACAGTACCATACAGTAAATTGTTACCAAAACTACTTCAGGTTCATTGTTCAGTGTCATTAAACGAGGCTGATCATTGGTTGTTTTATCTTTTCTTCTGAAAGCTTTAGCATCTTTAGGGTCTTTGTTTGGCTAGAAGTGGCCACACCCCTCCTGGGGGTGCATCCCTTAACAGACACATCATTTAAGAACCTTTAAAACTAACTGAAATAACATACACGCTGAATGAGAATGAGAATCTCCTCAGCAATTTACATGGATATGGAAGCATATATAAGGTTAATGGCAACAGATACGAATGCCTTGATTTCAGTTGTCTTGCAGATGTTTTAAAGTTTGTATTTTTCTTTTAGCTCCTTAAGGAGTGAATTAGACTTCGTTCTGCTTGTGTTCTCAGCTGGAAGCGCAGGCAGAGGAACAGACAGCCGAGGCTCAGAAAGAGAGAAAGCTACGAGAGAGAAACGAGCAGTACAGCAGACAGTTGGAGGAGGAACTGGAGGGCGTGAAGGTGGGGATGAGGCTTGAACTATAGCTGTATAAACACCTACTCAGTCATTCCAACACTCATTTTCACAGAAGCTTTGCTTTATTTTTTTCCCCCAAACTCTTTGTATACAGTAGATATGGAGTACATAGTGGATTGCCGTTACAGTGAAATATGAAATAGTTCTGTGAGTGTTATTCATACCAAATATTAATATAAAGTTTGAAATATCAGTCACATCTGAATCTCTCTCTAATGTCGATATTTTTTCAAGCAGTTATCTGCTGATGCCAGTTTGATTCCAGTATAATAACAATTATAATATTTTTTATTTATAAAGCACTTTTCATGCCAGTGGCAGCTCAGAGTGCTTTACAGACAGGTGATAAAACAGTCATTAGTATTTATTTAGAATCAGAAGAAAATGAAAAAGATCAAATTTGAAGATAAAAACCATGAGACGCAGAGTTTAAATTAAATGCTAAGTTAAAGAGATGTGTTTTTAGATGCTTCTTAAAAGTGAGCACTGAACTTGACTGTCTAACAAAAGGTGGAGTTGAGCTCCACAGTTTAGAAGCAGAATAACTGAAAGAGTCTCTCCATGTTTTCTGTATTTTACAGAAGATGTTCAGAAGGTCAGTATCTACAGATCTTAGGTTAAGTGCCAGAACATAAACAGACAGACCCACTGTGATGTAGGCGGAGCTTTACCGTCATATAGAGCTTTAAAAACTAGTAGCAGAACTTTAAATCTATCCTGAACGATACAGACAGTCAGTGCAGCTCTTTACAACAGGACTGATCTGATTTCTCTGTGTTGTTTTTGTTAGGATGCTGACACTTTTTGTACGAGTTGTAAGGGACGTATTGTTTTCTTAGGAAGTCCAGTAAGAATCATCATTACAGTGATCAACTCAGGTGTAACAAATGCATGAACAAGTTTCTCTGCGTCGCTCTGAGAGAGAAAAGGCTGAACTTTAGTGAGATTTAGTGAAGATCACACCCAGGTTTCCTACTTCAGCTTTGGTATATGGAGTTACAGAACCAAGTCTCTCATAAATTGTTTTTCTCTGAGTTTCTGTACCAACGATCAGTATTTCAGTTTTTTCATGATTTATTGTAGAACATTTTGTGACATCCACTGAGAAATATCTGACACACAGTTAGTAAGCCTGTCTACAGAGCCTTGACCTTCAGAAGGAATAGAAATGTATAGCTGGGTGTCGTCAGCATAGCTATGAAAATTTGTACTATGCTTACCATCTTGCATCCTTTGTTAGAAATGTTTTAGACCAAACTCTTATCTTTAAACTACAGTAATGTTTGAGCTGTCAGACCGTGTATTTAACCATTTCAGGTAATATCTGTCTATGAGTTAGCATTTACAGATGTTAAACACTTCAGACAGCTTGGTTGAATTCCCCTTTAATGCATCCCTTAAAGTTAGTGCAGCCCTAACAGTGTTTTTGTCCCTCCTGTAGCAGTTGAAGCAGACTGGGCCGCTTCATGCAACTGTGGGCTTAGATCAGCAGCAGGAGGTGGTGCGGCTGCGGGCGGAGCTGGAGAAGAAGAGCGTGCAGCATGAGGAGGAGCTGTGTCGCAGGGAGACGCTCCATGGCACCGAGCTGAAGAGCCTCCGGAAGGAGCTCCGCGACGCCGAAGCCCAGCACCTCACCCTGCAGAAAGAAATCCTCATGCTTAAAGACAAGCTGGAGAAGGCTCGCCGAGAAAGGTACGAGGGCGGTCGTTCGTTTTTGAATGACCATTCAACGACTATGTTACTCAGCCTGTTATTGTGGCTGCCGTGTGGTTTCAGAAGAAAGTAATGAGAGGTGCATCTTAGGCTCGTGGTTATATTTTGGTTTTTCATCTGAATTTACATGCCCAAATCGTAAGGCAAATTGGTCAGTAACAGCATGAAATAAATGTAAATGTTTGGGGTTTTTTTTGTTTTTTTCAGATTAACAGAACATGTGTTTTATGATCACACATATTGCTATATGCTTACAATTTACTGCTGAAAGCCAAAAAACTTAGACGCTCTTTGAATTTTATAAAAATAATTTTTACAGAGCAGATCACTGAAGAGACGCCATCTGAGATCCACTTTATAACTCAGATTTGTAGAAAAAATGGGTCGACTTTCAGTAGAAAGTTCAGCTTCTTTTATTATAAGGGTTTAAAATTACATCACCCATCTATTTGACTGGAATGAAGACAGTTACAGCTCTCATACGACACCCATCTTTTGAATGTAGCTTATGAAATGTGAAAGTTATGAAGTAAAGAATATGACGAAGTGCGTTTTGGAACCACTGGTGGTTCCAAGGGTTAAAAAAGGTTAACTAAGATAACTTGCCACTAGATTAATTTATCTAAAGGTGATCTTATAAAGCATCCCATAGTTATATGTGTCAGTCTTCAAAGCGGGAAGTGATGTAGGATCAGTTAGTTAGTATAGTCCTTTTAGCGTCACTCTGTATGAGCTGTGTAAATAGCTGTTTTTCAAGTGCAATATATCTGTAAACGCTAGGGACACAAAAATGGAAGTTTCTGTCGAATGACCCATAAGCTTGATTTATTTATTTATTTGTTTGTTTGTTTAGGTCAAACTTCAGTGCTACCCTTCAAGTTCACACTGTTAGTGCCTCAACACTAGACCTGTGGGTCTCTGTTGTGTATATTTTTCACGTTCTTTGAAAGTGGGACATACTAATTGGGCAGTATTATCTCTTTACTATCCTGTGGCCTGTGTTGAACGTGTTGATGTTGATGAAAGTGTTTTTTGTGTGCACTTTAGCCAAAGTGAGCGTGAGGAGTTTGAGGCCGAGTGCAAGCAGAAGTATGAGCGGGAACGGGTGCTTCTGACAGAGGACAACAAGAAACTCACCAGTGAGCTGGAGAAGGTGAGCTACATGCATCTAGGCCCATAGGCAACATAACAACCAACCTGTGCAGGCGTTGTATGACGTGAGAGTAACAACCATCTTAAACCTGAATTTTGTCCGTACTTTTTGTCTGTTTGCCAGTCCCACCTGGATTTTCTGGGGTTTTTGTGATTCTTGTGGGCTAAAATGCTTGATTTTGCAGCAGCTTTTCTCAGTGTTTGCATAGTGGGGAATTCACTCCATCGTAGCCTTACAGCTTATTAATGCCCTGACAAATTCCAGTGTTTTAACAGTAAAAGGAATAAAACATTACATGAACACATTATTTTAGATTATTTATCAAACTGTTTAAAATTGAATTAGTCCTCTCTAGTCCTGTCTGTTCTCTTTCCCAGCTAGGCAGTAATTGGCTTGGTTGCATCGTCATGGGGTTACTTGACACTGTCCAGCAGCACAGCTGTGTCTGATCCACTCAGACCAGCGCAACACACACTAACACACCACCACCACGTCACTGTTACTGCAGTGCTGAGAATGATCCAACACCCAAATAGTACCTACTCTGTGAGGGTCCTGACCACTGAAGAACAGGGTAAAAGGGGGCTAACAAAGTATGCAGAGAAACAGATGGACTACAGTCTGTAACTGTAGAACTACAAAGTGCACCTATATAGTAAGTGGAGCTGATAAAATGAACAGTGAGCGTAGAAACAAGGAGGTGGTCATAATGTTATGCCTGATCGGTGTATGATGCCTCTGCGTTATCTATGGCTTCCAGGTACGTAGCACAAAGAATTGTAAAACTTAAATAAAGCAATGATAGGACAAAATTGAGAGCCCTTGCAAATATTACGAGGGTCAGTCAAATTTGTGTGAATTTGTGATTGCAAATTCCTGGAGGGACTAATATGTTTAGGCAACGGTACATCATTCCGTGTTAGAAAGCAAACCTGTTTGAGATTTAATAACCACTTAACACAGTCTGAGGCTGCAGTGTGATAGTTTAGGCATGTTGTTTACATAATGCTCATTTTTCTTCCATTACTGGCTACATAAGCCTTGTAGCTGCAGTGCAAAACTAAAGAAGCAAATTTTGGACAGCAAACACAGGCAAGAACTCACATGTGCATGCAGTTACTCTTAATTCTAGTGAGCATGTTCCTGTGTCAATAACTGTTTGCTTGATAATGAGTACAAACATACAGGTATATCTGCTTCCACTGTATCCTTGTTTTCAGTTCCCCTTTTCTGGTATTTTCTCTACAAGTCTCACATTCTTTTGCATTCTTTCAGAGTTATCATAACCCCACATGCACAGAGATATGGTCCTGCCTGTTGGATCACCCCCTGTTTGCCTTGGATAGAGGAAAAAGGGAGGGAAGGAGTTTGTAGCTCCCAAGTCAAATAACTCTGCTGGGGGCTTTGCACATGCTGAATATAAAAGCGCTGTTGGTTTAGTGTGGGATGCTTATTAAAAATCATGCATTTCATAAAAATAAAGTCCAGAACCAGCCGTTTTTTTTCCCCTGGGCCATCAGGCTGCTGAACAGCCAGTAGTGCTGGTGTATCGATCTGTAGGCCTGTCACTACAACTCTGAGTATTATCATGATGATCTCCATGGACAATCTACACCTCATCCACATCAACAGACCTACTCTGATCTTACTGCACATTAAATCTAGCCAACCCACCACGATCAGGCATAACATTCTGACCACCACCTTGTTTCTACGCTCATTGTCCATTTTATCAGCTCCACTTACTATATAGGTGCACTTTGTAGTTCTACAGTTACAGACTGTAGTCCATCTGTTTCTCTGCATACTTTGTTAGCCACCTTTTACCCTGTTCTTCAGTGGTCAGGACCCCCATGGACCCTCACAAAGCAGGTGAAAAAAATTGATAACACCACGGCTGTGATGATCTACGGCGACCAAATCACAGCCGTGATGTTATTTTGCGATAACACACTCCCTCTCGTGTTCTGTTGCTTAAGAAAACTCCCCTTTGTGACATATCTTGAAGGTGGGAGGAACCTTTAAAGACTACAACTGCTTTTTTTTCTGTTTTTAAATGTTTTTTTTTTGTTTCTGTGAGCTGGAGAAATGAGAAGAAAATCAGATAGCTAATGCTACACTAACTGCTAGGAAGCTATTGCAGCCATGTAACTATAGAAACTGTATGCAGTCACTTTTACAGTGGAGAGAATGGATTACCTGAATGACAGAAATGACTTAGATGAGGAGGATGACAAGCTAAAAGCTAATGTTAGCGAGGTACCTGGCTATCTAGAAAACCTGCCTCAGTTTGACTCCATTTCTCTGGCTGAAAGGGTAAAATCCTCCTCTATTTTGTGCTGAATAAAGACTGAATCACTGTTTTCTACTTTAAGGTTTCCCTACGACTGGGGTAGGAGGTACACTAATGCTAGCCTGGTTGATTTTATAAACAGTCAGGATTAGCTGACACCACAGAGATTCTCAATGTTTGTGTGATGTATTCACGTAATGTCTGCAGGATATTACTGTGAGAGAAGACTGATGAATGAAAATATCACTGTATCACTGTCAGAAGAAAACCTTGTATCTCCATTTTTGACATTTTTCAGTTTTTAACATAATTTGAAAATGCTTGTTAGTCTTTACATTGTGTGTAAATTTCACGATGAATGGACTTAAAGAAACGACCCAAAATCACTTGGAAGAAAGTCTGGTTCCATTGACTTGCATTAAAAGTAAAGTAGGTTTTTTCCTTCTCCTGTAAAGTTACCATTTTGGAAATACAAGGTTTTCTTTCCGACAACAGCGACATGTAAACGATTCAAATTTGTGAGTTTTATTGAAATAATGTCAAATATCAAACGCTTTAAGCCAGAATGCCCCTTCAGAAGTGTTAATGTGTTAATATTATCCTCTTATTTCTCTAAATGTTGGCTTAGCGTGATGAATTCTGAAAATTATGGCATGATCTATTTCTATATATACATCTTATATTAATGGCTGATTTTCTCTCTCCATGTCTTCTTGCTACCTGTATTTGTAGCCATTTGCTCTTTCACTCACTCCTCTCTCCATCCTCATGTTTTTTCTCTCTCTCTCTCTCTCTCTCTCTCTCTTTGCTGTCCTCTTATTTCAGCTCTCACTCCTGTTCTATATATTCTGTGCATCAGCTCTTATTTTCTTCTCCTTTCTTTCCATCATCCTATCCTTTCTTCTGCTTATCAGCTTCTTTCCTTCATGTTGCCGTTCTTCCATGATGTCTTCTCCTCCCAGCTTTCCTAATTCCGACTCCTTCTTCTCTCTCTGGTTCTAGCTGAGCTCCCTGTTTGAGAAGATGAGCAGTAGCCACAGGCAGCTGGAGGAGGAGATGAGGGAGCTGGCTGATAAGAAGGAGAGTGTGGCCCACTGGGAGGCCCAGATCACGGAGATCATTCAGTGGTAAGTGGAGCCCCCTACCTGCAGCTGCCCTGTATTACACACATGCTGAAGATCACACAGCAGGTCTCCAACCATCCTCCTGAAGGTCTGCCTAGCAGAGGGTTTCATCAGTATCTCACACTGCTGATCTGACTAATCAAAAGCCTGAGTTGGGTCAGGTGTGGTGTATAAGGATTAGATGTGGGAATCTCTGGGCACCTCACAATTCAGCTTGATTTTTGATTGAGGGTGCCAAGACTTATTATTAATTATTAAACAGTTCTCAGAGCACCTTAATGCATCTCGATTTTTTTTTTTATTTCTGTAGATCACATTGTGATTCTTCCCCTCTATTTCTCATTAACAAGTAGTGGTAGCTTAGTTGAATTTGCTGTTGCTAACTTTTATTAGTGCAGGTTTTCTGTGTTATATTATGCTTTACCTTGCCTTACCTAGACTGGTTTTGATACTAGTTATAGCAGTTTGAGGCTAAATGTGGACATTTCAAGCTTGTAACAATGTTCATATCTATATTTTTACTTTATATGTTGCACAGAAATCTGTAGATAGTTCAGTAAATGCTTAAACTTCAAGCCTAACTCTTAATATTACTGAATTAGCCTGTTAACAGTTTGCCAAGCTGGTTGTTAAAGGTGCATTCTTCCTTAGAATCATATTCACTACGGTTTCGCTCTTTTTATTTTTATATGCATAAAAATTCAGACCCGTTTGTGATTGCAAATGTGCATTAGTGAAATAACGTGTTTCTTTCCTCCTCAAAGTCGGGCTGTTCCAAAGTGTTCTACTTTATAAAGTGTGGTGTGAGTTTATTTTGCAGTAGGGAGATCCAGATCACCTATTAAAGTCTGATTATGGTGTTTTGTGAATAGATTCAGAATATTTCAAGACAGAATTGTGATGCAGCTAAAATGTTTTGTTTTTCCTACCCCAAATTAGAATTGGAGCTAATACCTGCAAAAAAGTAGCTCTATAGGGGGACTTTGGTGACCACTACTCTGTGCTGTTGGGGAGTAATCCATTAACTTGGAATCTTGTGTCTCCAAGCATCAGCCTGAATGTGGGCATTTTTTTACTTGATATTAATGCTCTGTATGAGCTAATCTCAGTTAGAGAACATGAGGAAATCTGACCCACTCTCAAAGCTACATGCCCAGCATTATATTTTGCTGGAACTGAAGGATGCGGACTGAGCTGTATGTGTTTTTTTGTTTGTTTGTCTGTCTCTTTGTTTATTTAGGGTAAGTGATGAGAAGGATGCCCGAGGCTACCTTCAAGCATTAGCCACCAAGATGACTGAGGAGCTGGAAGGACTGAGGAACACCAGCCTGGGAGCCAGAGGCACAGTGAGTCTCTCTCTCTCTCTCTCTCTCTCTCTCTCTCTCTCTCTCTCTCTCTCTCTCTCTCTCTCTCTCTCTCGAGCTTGCTCTCTCTTTTGTCTGTCATATATAGACATCTACTGTTTTAATTATAATTTGTTTGAAAATAAACTAAATTTACATAAATATGTAAATACAAAGATATAGAAATAAATAAATACACTTTATTTACTATCAGAATCTTCGTCAACCTGATTAGTTGACTTACATTCTGATGGAAGAGTTTTCCACGGGGAGGTTGGTAATGTATTTATGTTATGGTTTTTCTCAGTAATTTTAGTCCCATTAAAATCTGCCATCTAGGTCATTTTGATGGACTGATTTATCTACAACAAAACATTGAAAACCCCCTTAGGTTAGATTAATACCCTGCATGTTAGTGTTGGTAGATATTCCATCATATGCAGTGGAAAGGGAGTTTTTGTGGTGTTTCTTTAGTATGAAGGTCAAAGAAGCATATATACATATATATATATATAGGGGCACAGAGAATACAATTAAATGCAGCGATGTTGGCTGTTGATATAAACGACAAGCTAATGAAAAAAAAATGCTAGAATATATGAAATTAGATTAAATTGAAATGTAGGACAGGTTTTCTGTTTGTAAGCAGCAGAGCATACTGCATATAAATCCATAATAATGATCCTTCTCCTGTTTTAAGGACATGCCATGGAAGATGCGGCGATTTGCTAAGCTGGACATGTCTGCTCGTTTGGAGCTGCAGTCTGCGCTGGACGCTGAGATCCGAGCCAAACAGGCCATCCAGGATGAGCTCAACAAAGTCAAAGCCTCCAACATCTCCACTGAGTGGTAGGATTACAGCTCCCCCTCACAGCGTCTTGCTCATGCACACACTCACACACAAATATGTTTGTTTTTTTAATACCTTGTCAAGATGTGGGGTCATACCTATGCCCCATTGCCATTTCAGTTTTCATGTAGCACTTTACAAAGCCAAGACCACTATATTCATCCAGACAATCGTTTTTTTATGAGGTATAGCCTCGTATTTCTCTCATCTTCCTACCAAGTCAGGCTGATTTTGTCCTTTTTATAAAGTATACACTTTCAAGGCCAGCATTGTATGTAAAAGTCTATTAATAGCCTTCCTTGTCCTCTATATGTTGTGACACTCCTTTGAGAGCAGAGATCAGAGCAGTGCTGGAAGGCCACAGCAGTTTGTGCAGCATGTGCAGTTTACAGCTTTCCCTGCTCTTACAGCCCTGATTCAGCTAAAAAGAGGCTCAGCAATTATCTGACGAGTTGAAAAGGGGGAATCAGGGAACACGTCAAACCATGCAGCGCTTTGATCTTCATGGACTTATGCAAGAGAAGTCTGAAATAGACCTCTCTAAGAAGTCAATTAACGCCTTCTTTCATTCTGTGTTTTGACAGTAAACTGCAGGAGTCTGAGAGCAAGAATCAGGAGCTGCTGTCTGAGATTGAAAGGCTGAGGAAAGAGATGGAGGATCTGCGTCAGAGGAGGGGTCAGTCTCCTTTTTATGCTTCTATAATGAAGAGGAAAAATATATCTTTATTACATATTTTACAATATTATTTTCAAATGAAGAAAAATGATGACTATAATCATGTTGCACAACTTACTAACAACACTACAGCTGATAGGCAGAAGAAGCGCTGGAGTGATTTGTTGACCGGTGCTGATTGTTTGCTGATCATCGATCATGATTTTTGGTGTTTAAACCACATTATCACGGTTTTGCGTCACATTATCACAATGTCACGATGCACTGTTATTTTACATGCATTCTATGTGTGTATGGATGTTTGTTATAACATTCACATAGGTTAACATATTGAACTGTTCTTAGGGTGCATGTGTTTGTTCTTTTAAGAATATATAGTTGTCTGTTAATATATATTTTTAAAAGAATGCACAGTGGACTAATAGTTTGAAGTTAAATAGTTTGGGACTGTGAAAAGTGAAAAGTCCCCGTTCTGAAACGAACAAAGAGTCAGACTCTGCCGGTCAGCGAAATCCAGCTGTTTTACAGAAAAGCCAAATGAAATAATAACGATAAACACATTTTTATCAAAAAATGAAGTACTGCAGTATTTTGGTGCATTTTCCATAGTTTCTGAAACATGGTTCATTATTTGTTGAAAGCTTGATTTATTAGTCTTGGTTTATATAAAACTTGATTTATAAATATCTAACTTTAGGATATGGTGACGCACCATTAAGCAGGCTAGCCTTTTAGCATCCACATTGCTTTAGCTTTCCTTATATTTTCTCCACAAGTGCAAGAACAAAAAGACTTCAGGAAAGAAGAAGACAGACTGTCATTAAAATAAACCTGTGTACTAGTGTTACTACTTAACGTATGTGAGCAAGGAATGGACTGTGTATGTGCATGTCGCTCCATCATCGTATCCCCTACCACCCCCCCTCCCCCTAAGCCTTGGAGTATTGCAGCCTCTCAGCACCTTCTGAAAACAGCGCAAATACTGCCAGACGTCTGAACTACCTCACTCTCTAGAACAAATACGCAGGTTGCCAGTGTAAACAAACTGAAATAATTCACAAGAGATTATTTTACAACTAAAATGAAGAATGAAGTGACAAGAAGAAAGGAGGTTGTCTGCAGGCATGCATGTACCTGCAGCCAGGAGCAGAGGTGATGATGGGTCAAGGTGGTGGGAGGAGGAGGGAAAACATGTTAACATATTGGTTCGTATAGTTTTTCCCGGCCAATGGAGCGTAATGTGACCAAAGACATGAACTAACAAGGTTCATTTCAGGTTGACTTTAATTGAAAGTGTTCAGTATATTATTTGAAATTGAAACCTTTTAAACCCTAAACTGACTTATTCAGGTGTTTAAGACCTTTTATTTAGTAACTACTATAAACGACTCAGTAACTACTATAAAACTAATATGTAATATGTGGGTAGTTATAAGACTAGGCACACATATGGGGTTAACTCTTAACTCTCCTAATATATTTTACTGTGTCCCTGTGCTGGAAATTGAAATAAAAAAGACGGAACATTGACTCAAAAATACATGTTAATAGATGATAGGTCAAGGTGGCCCATTGGCCTCTGTTGCTCTCTTCTGAGTCAGCACTTTTTCAGTTATTTAGAATCGTGCTGTTAAGTACAAGCATGTTATTGTCTATGGTATTTGACCTTATGCTGTCATTGTGCCCGGCTGTCGTTGTGGCTGGTAGAGATAAAGTTGGGAAGTGCTAGAATATTCCTTTAATACGTCCATCCCCCAAAGCCAAACAGCACTGCTGTCTGACTCACCTTGATATGATTTTGTTCTCAGGTGTCAAGCACCAGGATTCTCAGAACTCCTTCCTGGCCTTTCTCAATGCTCCCACCTCTGCGCTGGACCAGTTTGATGTAAGTCCTGTTTTATCTTTTCAGCCTAGCAGTCTCTCCTCTATATTAAACCCTCTGGTATTTTTATGTTCTTTTGAATGATTTAATATTGATACAGTGATCATTGTGGCTTTTTTTCCTTCTTCTTTTGTTGTCCATCAGGACTCTTTTTCTTCTTCTTCTTCCTCTTTAATTGAGTTTTGGGAAGATGTAAGTTGATTTGTGGATCCACTACAAAACCCTGAGTCCTCCTGTTGTCTCCTTTAGTCAGTCACATCAATTCCCCAAAACACACACACACACACACACACACACACACACACACACACCTTCTAAGCCGCTTATCCTTCTGGGTCATGGGGGGGAGCTGGAGCCTATCCCCTATCACTCCATCGCAGGGCAGACAGAAAGACATATACATTCACACACACACTCACACCTAGGGGCAATTTAGCCAATTAGCCTGACTGCATGTCTTTGGACTGTGGGAGGAAACCGGAGCACCTGGAGGAAACCAATTCCACTACAAACTTTTAAAAATAAAAGTGCCAAAATGGTTCTTTTGAGCCTTTTTAGCAGAATGGAAACCTTAAGGGAAGATCTAACATGTAAAGCACCCAGATGATACAGTGAATAACACGAGCGCCTGTACATCGGAGAGCAGAGTTAAGCTAAAAATGCAGTGAGGGTAAAGATGTAGAGTCTAAAAAACTCGTTCACCATATCAAAAACTCTTCCACTATCATTGCACTGCAGTAAAAAAGCAGTGTGATGGTATAATATTCATCTGTGTTGATTTAGTGAAAAACAGTTATTTCTAAATAGCTTTTATTTCTGTTCTTATTGCATTAAACATTTTGAATCTACTTTTTGAGTCAACTTTTAATTTTTTTTCTAAGTCCCATTGTATTAATTAAGGCTGTTTAGTTCTTCTGACTAAATCAGCAAAAATAACCCTTCCGAACCAATTGTGTCGCTGAATTTGGCAACGGTCCCTTTAAGTCCGTTAAATCTGTTGCCACAGGAATTGTGCAAGTGTATGTTGGCTAGAATGAAAGTATCAGCATGTAGAATCACAGCTTTTTGTGTACTACAGTTTATCTGTCACTGTAGAAAAGATGCATGAGATTATATTACAGAAACTTCCTAACTCTTATCTGTTTAAACACCATAACGACTTCAGTTAAGATGAAGTTTAGGAAGAAGCTCTTACAGAACAACAGCTCTTAAGTTCATAATCTTATCCTAACTCCAAATAAGAAAACAGTATAGACGAAAAACAGTATAGAAGTGTCCTAAATGTCAGAAGTACTGTCCTAACTTAAGGAGAACCGCAGCGTGTCCTAACATGCACTTTAACTTTCTGTTTCTAAAGTTAGCCGTTTTCTTCAGAAGAGAATGTTGTTGTTATTAGGCCCCTGTGAAAAGCAGCATAAGATAATGGTGTTAAATTTATTTATATTGTGAAATGATGTGATGCTTTTTCCCCCTAAATCTGCAGTTAAAAAACTCTGGACACTGCAGACTCTGTTCTTCTCCGTTCCCTCTCACTACCTATGTGTGTTAATGTCAATAAGAACTTGCCACTGAAAATATCAAGGCAGTGGTGATGAATAATGAGGAGACAGCGTTCGGCATGTGGCTGTTCATTACGAGGTTTATTAGGAGGAATAACATTAGCGCAGCTCGCATGCTCAAATAAAAAAAACAAACAAAAAAAAACATTACTTCATTAACAGCTACTAGCGCTGCTCTGTAGGTGACCCGGCCCGTCTTCAGTGATAGCAGAGGAGGGTAAAGTTCAGCTCCTCACTGCTGGGCTTTAGTTACATTTAGGGCATCAGTAGCTCTTAAAGAGGGGGACAATTATTTATTATCACCCACCGCTAATTCTTTGGTGATATGAAGCTGAAGTCAGATATTCACCAGCTTCTTGTTCGAATTTTCCCGTTTCACCTTAAATGGTGCAGCAGTTACATTCTGGCGCTTCACGCGTCAGAACTGCCAGACTATTTAAGGTGGAACAGGAAAATTGTCTAGCTAGCTCCTGAGACATTAGCATGCTATTAGCGATTTTTTATGCTTGTAATGAAGAAAATGACTATATGATTTGAGAAATATGATTTTTTACATGTTACACTTATAATTTTTTAACAGAGAAAATTCTCACATTTCTGGGTTTCTTTTGTCGCTCGCGCAGCCAACTTGCCGGTTTTTGTTTTTATTTTTTAACACTCTGTTTGCAGTGTGTCTCTGAAAAACCTCAGTTTGGAGTGGCCATGTAACCCTAACACTTCGCCCTACCCCTCTATCTAAAAATCGGGACACCTTACCCCTAGACGTGAACGCGCAAAACAGATGGCTAAGGGCTAAGTGGTAGGGGCAAGGGGTGAAATGGTATTGGGGCTAAATATACATCTCCAGATCTAAAAGCGTTTGTTTTGCTTATTCAGACAAGCAAAAACACAACTATTGTATGATTTGTATTCCTGTTTGTGTGTTTCCTAATTTACAAGTGTAAAATGTAGATCACATTCTTTACATATCGAAACAATGCAGCAACAGCACTGAGTTATCAAACTGATGAAATGGCCACGTGTCTGCGTTGACCTTAAAGGGTTAATCCATTTGAGAGAGAATGCATGAATATCAGGATATCTCTGCTGTCAGAACAAAACCTTGTATATCCAAACTGAGAACTTTATAGCAGAAGGAAAAACTTTTAATGTAAGTCAATGGAGCCAGACTTTTTTTTTCCCCCCCAAGTAATTTTGGGCCTTTTCTTTTGGTCCATTTATCATGAAATTTACACACAATGTAAAGGACAACTTACTTTTTCTGTTTATGAGAGATGCCAAAAACTGAAAAAGGACAAAAAATGAAGATACAAAGTTTTGTTCTAACAGCAGCGATATATGTCGTTATTACCAAAAGGTAACTGAGATATACATTTTAAAACACGTTGGCCCTTCTGTGCATTATTTAGAGGTGCTTTACATTAAAATTAAATGGTCTTTACACTTAAAAAAAAGGGGAAACAAAAGGTCAAAATTGGCACCTTTATTTTTAAGAGTGCAGAAACACATTGCGATAGCTTGATAATGCAGCTTTTTAAACCACACGACTCAGAGCACCTTTAAAACTCCGAGTAGCTCTGTTGAACAGAATGTACACACACCCACACACACGATTCAGATCCATTAAACAAAGCCAGGATGCGTGACCACTCCTAACATCCAGCTCTGCCAAAGTCAATCTCTGAGCCTGTGTACGTCTTGCCACTGTTGGAAAAGAGTCAGGGGGCTGACCTGACTGGCCTGAGCCATTTGATTCCAGCAGCCCATCACGAAAGTTTGAGAGCAGCATGTTTGTGTTTGTTTAGCGAGAGAGTGGGCATGTACGAGCACACGCACACATATTTGCCCTTAAAGACTGATCAGGGCTGACTTTTGCTCCTTTCTCTCTCCTTTATCCCTGACCCAGGTGTTAAAGGTGTAAAGTAACCGAGCGTGTCATGAGCAGATTACCTATTCAGTGCCTTTCTGTCCTCCACCCTTTATTTCTGTTTAGTGACTCCTGCCTCAGTCGCTCCTGTGTGCTGATCCCTTTTGTGCTGTAGGACTGGAGAACATCCAGAGATCAACGACTTGATAACACATGTTCCAACGTGCTTTTCTTCCCCCACTTTGCTCCCTCTTAGCAGTTCTGCAAAGCATTAACCCTCAATCACAGCTTAGAAACTTTCCTGTGCTTGTCATTGTATGAAATAATTGTTTTGTTTTTGTTGTTTGTTTCGTTTTTGTTTGTATTTTCTCCTTTCAAAGCGCTCACCTTCTTGTGGTCCAGGAAGCAAAGGCCGACGCGTAAGGTTCACTTTGGTTTTTGAGTGGGTTAAAGTGATAGTCTTCCCTTCATTCTCCCCTTGAGCCCAAATGTAGTCGATCACCGAAAGCATGTTTATTAGGCTTGCTTCTTTAGTTTTGGAGGTACAAGGTTTATGTAGCTAACAGAAAATGGGAGCTTATCTACAGGACTTAGTGTGATGCACACTGTACGTCTAAATCAACACACACTTGACGTGACTTACAAACACGTCGAGTTGATAAGTAACACCAAATAGCCTTTTTATGTGGTTTGTTGTGGTTATCAATAAAAATGGGCAAAGGTGTAGACAAATTTCAGGCATGTGTGGTACTTTTTTATAGATTACAGTAAACAAGCCTTATTCGAGCTGGATTAGTTTTACCAGCTGACATTCTGCAGTTAAATTTGTAAAATTTGGCCGATTTGTACTGGATAAAGTATCTGTAGACCAGATATCTTGGATCAAATCATCGTACCCTGGATGTTCATGTCAGTTAAACAGATCCAGCCAAACTACAAAAATACCCTCCAGGTGCTGTCAGATAGAACAGCATTAGGCTAGTAAAGTAGACTCATTTCACTTTCTAACCTTCTCCTTCTAATTAGGTCATCACCGAAAATGATTACAGACTACAGTAGTCCTAGTTTGAACTTGAATTGGAGTAAAACTGAATTAGCCTGGTGTCCCTGCCAAAAAAATGTCTTTGCGTATAGTCAGGTTTTGTTACTGCTTTACTGCAAAGTCACACAAATTGCAAGTTTTAGAAGGCAATTTGTCCTGGAATGACTTCTTAGCAGACTTGTAAAACCTATGGACTTTGCAGGTTCGTACTGGATTAAAAATCATGTATCTCATTAGTTAATCGCTCAAATTACAGCGTCTCCTCAAGTAAAACTAATCCAGCTTGAGTAGAGTTTAAGACAGATAAAATACATGCAATAATGTTGATACCGTTTGAGGTGAGACTGTGGTGATTTAGGTGTGCAGTTTGCTAATTTTTGGGGGTATAAGCTTCTATTACATAGCTACGTTAGCCTCATAGTTTCAGTGCAGAACTGAAAAGCAGACTTCAGTCACCATATATCCTGGCTGATTGACTATATTTGAATAAAAGGGATTTTCACCTATTCAGCTACTGCTCCAGCAGTCGTGTTGACCCCAGAACAGTGGAGCTGTCTGTTTTCTCTCCTCATGTTAATGCATTCTGAGTCCTGCATGGGTGGTAGTGGTGTCTGAGCTGTATACTCTACTGCATGAGAAATGTGTCATAAAATCATGTGAGGTGTTGTGATCCTGATTTCCCACTTTCTGATGGGTTTGGAAATCAAATGTCATTTCATGTTTGTGCTAAATTTGTTCCCCTTTTATTATGTGGTGAATGGGTTTGTGGTTGGCTGGGTCTTTTTCCCCGTATTGTGCATGTGGGGTGGGTGTGTGGGCTTTCAGAGTGCATTGTGTCTTTTTGGTATCTTGGATTAAAGCCTGGTTGCTCCGCACTTTGCTTTGTTCTGCTGTATGGGTGTGATTTCTGTAAACAATCACAGATCCCAGATAAACCTCGGTGGACTCAGTGCACTCAGTCTCGTCTGGGTTTTAGTGCTGGGTTAAGTTTTAGCCATTTGTTAATGCATGGTGTTAAATCTGCTACCCTCATTATGTTGATGAGACTGTAATGTGATAAATAAAGTGAAGTAATCCCTCTATCTCTCTGCCCCCCCCCTTCTACCCTCTCTATCTCTCCAGCTTGATTCAGCTGATTTTACTCCATCTAACACCCCATCACGGGATGAGGATTCTAAATCTCGCCGCATATACCGCTCACGCTCGCCATCCACCGCCAGTGACCTGGAGCCCATAGAGGTAACTGTTAAACCCTAACATTCAACATGAAAACCAGGGACAGGTTATATAACCAAGGCAAAGTGCCTCTCTTACATTGGAGCTCTGATGCTTTATGCCTGTTTTCATCTCTGCATCCCAGTTCAGGGGTGTCCAAGTTCAGCAGAGTTTACTGATTCCTCTGTTCACATAGACCAGTTGACCTAGTAACCAACTGCTGTAGAATCACTGTCTGTGGTTACATGCAAAGATTTTTGCCAATCCGATTGAATACATTCTGATTACGGATTAAGACGTTTACATGCTCACTACAAGTAATCCGATCGAAAATGACTCGCATGCGCGGAGTAGCGCTTAGAGTAAACGTTACCATGACAGCGAACATCACGAGTCCAGTCAGAGTGAGATGAGTTTTGTGCGCTGGAGTTTTAATTACTTTAAAATGATGTCAGACTCAGGAAAACGTCCTTCACATGTCCTTATTAAAGAAGGCCGAGAGGAAGACGTCGTGTTCTGAGACACATAAGCTGGACGTCCGTCCCACCGCCGTCTTCAGATTAGAGCATAAACTTCGTCTCCTCTGCAGACCAGTTTCTGCTCCGCCATGTTGAACTTTTGCCAGAGCCAGTTTGTTCCCTGCCTTTGCTCTGACGCGAACACATGCGCAGAACGTAGTTACACGTTCTGAATGGAAATGTAATCGGATATATGTGTTTATATGGCTATTATACTTCTATTTAACAGATCATTTACAGGATTACCCGCCTTGTTCAATCGGATAGAGATTGTGTTCCGAATGGCCTCAATCGGACTAGACTATTCTTATTGAAGTGTATACATGGAGGCATCCTATTCAGATTGAGCTATTAGATGGATTATAAACGGATTATTAGGCTGCATGTAAACGTGGCTACTTAGGGATGTGCCTTCTGACTAATTTTGTTATCTGGCTTTAAAAAATAACTTAACATCAGATGAAAAGTTTTCATAATATGCAGACACTGTTAACTGGTGCGCTGGTGCTTACACGAACAAGAAGTGTGAAAAGGTCTACATTGGAAAACGTCTTATATTCAAAAACAGCCTGTAAAAACAACATTTTGTGCACTGCGCATGAATGACAGAGGCTGCTTTAATTGAGCTATCAGGCTAGTGCTAACACTAGAACTAACCAGATCAGTAGATCAGAGATATTATGGGATTTTTTCTCTTCAGTGAATAAGCTGACATGTCAGTTTGTTGAGGTGTCATTGGCTACGTTCACATTACCAGGTTGAAGTGGCACAAATCCGATTTTTTGCATAATTTGACTCAGATCTGATGTTTTCAGGGCTGTGTGGCCACACAAATCTGATCTTTTCAAATCCGACATGAGGCTTTTTTCATATGTGGTCCTAGATCAGATACGTATCCGATTCGTGGCCATGCAACCTTAATGTGACGCTCAAATCGGAATTCATGTGTTTTTTTTTTTTTTCCACTGTGCGTGACCATCATTCAGCGTTACCATGGCAGCAGCACCGAACAGAAGTCAAAGCCTGTGAACTGTGGAAAAGCAACACGTCTCACCTTTTTCTCCTTCCTCTTGCTCTAATAATGAAGCTGAGACGAGTTAATTATCTTCTCAGCAAAGCTCGTTCTGCTCGTTAGTTTGTTTGCTGATGATCCACGTGATTCATTCATGAGTAGGATGTGCTCATGTGGGTCATTTCAGGACGTTGGTTCGTTCACATTAATGAGCAATTTAAGTCACTTGCCTAAACGAATGTGAATCATCATCTCAGTGAGATCAGATTTGAGTAACGAGGCTTGTAATGTGAAAGTAGCCGTTGAGAACAGTGAAATATCTTGTTTTGGGTTGTAGCTTAGAGAAGCTAGAGTATTTGGCCAAGCCACAGTACCTCTTCTTTCCCAGTCAGATCCTTCACAGTGCACCTTCGGACATATCGTCGCTGTCCAATGAAAAACATGTATCTCCATTTTTTGTGATTTTTACTTTTCTGCATCATTTGAGCTCAGCAGTTCTCCTTTACATTGTGTGAAAATTTCATCATGATTGGACCAATAGAAATGCTCCAAAATTGCTTAGAATAAAACCTCTTTCCATTAACTAACTTTCAAAGTAAAGAGTGCTTTTGCCCTCTCCTGTAAAGTTAACATTTTGGAGATACTTGTTTTTCTTTGGACAGCAACGATATGTTAAGTCACGTTAAGACACTGTGACACTTTGTTTTGAAGTAGTTAAACATGATAACTCAAGCACAGGAGGAGGCAGCCGCACAGACGTTTTAGAGCATTTATCAACTACTAAATTGTGTTCATTTATACACACTTCTTAAATATAACACTGCTTTTTCAGCAGCATAGCTTTACTATTAAAACAAAAAAAAAAACATTTGAAACCATTTTGACCGAGGCTTTAAGTGAGTGAGTCTGTCCTCAGTTATATGCACCTAACATGCTCTTCTCCTGCAGCTGGTGGACCACTCGTCACGTCTCCAGACCCCGACTGGGAGATCCGGCTACAGCAGCCTGGGCCACTCCACTCCTAAAGTAAGAAAGTGATCTAGATTTATAATAAATAATAATGCCTTACACTGTGTCGTCAGAAGTGAGAGTGGAAAAGTAACGAATGTATAAATGAAATGAGTCAAATGTGTTTTTCCTGAGGCTGCATTATGAGCAGGTGCTAACAGTGTGACAGTAGCATTGCGTTGTTTATGTTGCAGCCCAAGGCCCATCAGTTTGTGGTGAAGTCCTTCAGCATCCCTACTAAGTGTAACCAGTGTACCTCCCTTATGGTTGGCCTCATCCGCCAGGGCTGCAGCTGTGAAGGTGAGAGAGAGAAGGAAAAACTGGGGGATGACCTTGTATGAATGTATGAACATAATGTATTAACAGTGATAAAAGGAACCATAATTACTTCGAATGTAGAGTAATATGTAATATGTCGTCAGTGTCAGAATGAAACCTTGTATCTCCAACATTTGTACAGGAGGAGGCTGTGTTCTGTAGTTTAAATATAAGTTAATGTAATAACACTTTTTCCAAGCACTGCTGTGTCTGATCCACTCATGCCAGCGCAACACACACTAACACACCACAACCACGTCAGTGTTACTGCAGTGCTGATAGTGATCCACTGCCAAATAGTACCTGCTCTGTGAGGGTCCATGGGGTCCTGACCACTGAAGAACAGGGTAAAAGGGGGCTAACAAAGTATGCAGAGAAACAGATGGACTACAGTCTGTAACTGTAGAACTACAAAGTGCACCTATATAGTAAGAGGAGCTGATAAAATGGATGATGAGTGTAGAAACAATTAGGTGGTCATAATGTTATGCCTGATCTGTGTAGATCCACAAATGCTGAAGCCTTCAGAGGCTGAATGTATGTGGATTTTAAAAAATGCTTTATCAGTGGTTGATTCTTTTTAATACTTTATTTTAATGTTAATTTTGGTCTCTGAATATTTTCACTTTTTTTTTTTCCCCACAGTGTGTAATTTTTCCTGTCACGTGACGTGTGCGGACAAGGCCCCTGCCGTTTGTCCAGTTCCTCCTGAGCAGACTAAGGGTCCACTGGGCATCGACCCACAGAGGGGCATTGGCACCGCCTACGAGGGACACGTCCGGGTGAGCAACACTTGAAATACTCTATTCATGACTCTCTATCTGTGTATGCTGTCCAGTGAGGTTTAAAATACCACTTATGACAGTTTTTGTCCAGCAGAGGGCACCAGCGGTGCTATAGTAAGCAGCCTAGTCTTGAGTGGTTTTTAATGCATGCAGCAAGTCGGGCATATTTTGCAAAATCTCACCTGAAGGTGGGGTAAGAGGCTATTTTCTGAGCAAGACTGGCTTGAAGCCCTGGGACATTTTGACTTGGAGTCCCATTTGACCTTCTGCCATTGCTTCTACCATAAATACTACACCAGTTTTCAACTTGCAGCCCCCCAGTAGGCTGTAGTGATACTGCCAGGGAGCCTTTGGTAGTCCTTTTTTGTTTGGATCTTCTATTTTCAATTTTTTTTTTCCATGATCTACATTGTTTAGAGAAGACGCTACACATACAATAAATATCAAAGCACTATAGTGATTAAGCCCTGCGATGGACTGGCGACCTGTCCAGGGTGTGTCCTGCCTTCCGCCCAATGACAGCTGGGATAGGCTCCAGCACCCCACCGTGACCCAGAAGGATAAGCGGTTTAGATGATGTATGTATGTATGTATAGTGATTAATACCTTCAGCTGTTAATCTTTTCAAAAACTTGTTACATCCAAAATTGTCCCAGACGTATATACAGTGTGTTGGAATGAAACTCCTCATGTAGACATTTAATAAAGCTAGTCATTTTAATATGACAGACAAACTCTCAGGAAAAAAAGGTACTAAACTGTCACTGGGGCAGTTCCCCTCTTGTCACTGAGGTGGGACCCTCAAGGGTCCATCTCAGTACCTTTAGTCAGGGAACATAACTGTACCATAATCCACTGAAATGATATTTTCTAAGCTGTACTGACTCTACACACCCCGTCTCGTCTCCAGGCTTTTTATTTGATTGTTCTGTTTTAAATCATTGTGAAAAGGTGCAAATTTGTACTTTTCTCCTGGGAAAAACTCATTTAAGGTTCACAATCAGACCTTAAAACCACTGTTGTACCTTTGAGGGAACACTTACATTGTTTGTACCTTGATGAACGAAAAATGTACCTGCACAGCACCTTTATTTCTAACAGTGGATTATTGTTCTGATAATTATTTGCAAACATAAACTGTTAAAAATGGCTAAATATTTACGTCTGACAACATGCATGACTGGTGTTACAGACCTAGCAGGCTAGATACGTTTATATTTTCAGTCTCTGTAAACATTTTTTGGATTGTATGGAATTAATCCTTAATTGATAAATTGCTCGAATAAAAAATATTAGGATTTTTTGGTGTTTAAGAAATTGAAAAGTGAAATTCAGTACATTGTGTTATATTTGTGTGCATTTGAAATGATCAGGCTTGTTAAATTTTCCTGTGGAACGTAAAGTTGTGTGGGTCGTGAGTTGCGAATGGGAGGGAACCCCTTCACTATACATAAAGATTATCAACTTACCATTTGGAGGTCTTCTATTTGGAGCTTTTTTACAGACAGACAGACAGGCAGACAGACACTCAGACATGCCGGCATGCAGATTGCTGCAGTTGTACGTTGCCATGACGTCTGGTCATCCTGTTTCCATCAGGTGCCGAAGCCCACAGGTGTGAAGAAGGGCTGGCAGAGGGCTCTGGCCGTGGTGTGTGACTTTAAACTCTTTCTGTACGAGCTTGGTGAGGGCAAAACCACCCAGCCCAGCGTGGTGGTCAGCCAGGTCATCGACATGAGGTGAGAAAAACCTTCCCTTACATGGTGCGTATACATTCTGAATTATTTTTCAATTTTGCCCATCTTCTTTTCATCTTTATCACCTTCTTGCTCAGGGATGAAGAGTTTTCAGTGAGTCCAGTCTTGGCCTCAGATGTCATCCATGCCAACAAGAAGGACATCCCCTGCATATTCAGAGTAAGAAAATACATGCATGTGTGCACTTAGTGTTTCTGAACTGATATGTTTGGTTTTTGGTCTTGTTTTATAATATCCTTTCTGTAGTGTGTTTAATGTTTATATATCACTGCTGTCGGAACAAAACCTCAGATCTCCAAAATGGTAACTTTACAGGAGAAGGAAAAACACACTTCACTTTTAATGTAAGTCAATGGAACCAGAGTTTTTTCCAAGTCATTTTGGGCCGTTTCTTTTGGTCCATTCAACATGAAATCTACACACAATGTGAAGAACAACAGACATTTTTAAATGACCTCAAAAACTGAAAAACGGCAAAAATGGAGATACGAGGTTTTGTCGTGACAGCAGCGAAATGCAGTGTGACTGACTGATCTGCTGATGATCAGTTACATAAAATGGTATAGTAAAATCACTTCATTCACATAGTGAGATAATCTTTGAACTAGGGGTGGGCAGTATGGAAAAAATTAGAAATGAATACATTTTTTACAATACATGATCTATATAATAATAATTTGACAAAGAGGCACAGTGCACCAGTAGTGCCACACTTAAAAACTGTGATCAGAAGCTCTGGGCAGAATGTTTTTTTATTGCACTTTTTATGCTAAAACCAATTAAACAGCACTTATTATGTTGTGTTTTTAATAAGACATGCAGTTGTTCAGTGTTTCTGTACTGACTATATCAGTAAAATGCTCAGAAAGGCATATTCTGTGTCACGATCAAAAATGTATCACAATAACAATAGAATTTTGTTATATTGCTCACTTATGTTATATGGCTGCTTATAGTGGTGCTTGAAAGTTTGCGAACCCTTTAGAATTTTCTGTATTTCTGGATGAATTTGACCTGAAACTTCATCAGATTTTCACACAAGTCTTAATAGTAGAAAAAGGGAACCAAATTAAACCAATGCGATAAAAATATTAGACTTGGTCATTTGAAAATGATCCAATATTACATATCTGTGAGTGGCAAAAGTATGTGAACCTTTAGGATTAGCATATAAAATCTGATGAAGTTCTAGGTCAAAATTATGCAGAAATACAGAAAATTCTAAAGGGTCTCAAGCACCACTGTATGTGAAATACCATTTTATAGTGCTGTGAATGCACTACTGTTATATTTAACACCTAGCATACTCAAAGCTCTGAACATGCTGTTTCTGCAAAGTGTAATAAGTGTAAAGGCAGGTTTACACTCTGCAATAACAGTCACGAGAATGAGGTCACAAACAGAAAATGGAAATCGTGAAAGAATTCTTTGATTGTGCGTTAAAATCGGTGGTCTTTGAATGTTTAAAATGAGCCCACTGACCTCAAGTTCACTTTAGAGAATGAGAATCCATATAGCTCTTTTTATCCAGCCACAAACAGCTCCAACCTTTTTTTGTGTTTAAAAGAAAAAAGCATCCCTGCCGTGTCTTTAGTTGATTGTGGTCAAGTGTGGCTGAAAAATTGTGCATGACAACAGATGGGCTACTTACAAGGTAAACGTAGCTTATAAATTGGACAGTGAGTGGAAGTACAAGGCAGATGTTTTTAATAAAGTGGACCCTGAGAGTACATTGAACTCTGGACTCTTATTGTCAGCTCTGTGATCATTTTGGCTCTCTTCAGGTAACAGCGTCTCAGCTGTCGGCCTCCTCCAGCCAGAAGACGTCCATCCTGATCTTGGCCGACAGTGACCATGAGCGCTCCAAGTGGGTGGATATGCTTAACGAGCTGCACCGTATCCTCAAGAAGAATAAGCTGAAGGAGCGCTTTGTGTATGTGCCTAAAGAAGCCTACGACAGCACGCTGCCCCTCATCAAAACCACCCAGACTGCTGCTATTATAGGTACAGCGACATGGAAAGGCTGCGACAATGTCATGGTTGTTTGAATATTATAGGCACTAAGTGGGGGTGCTTTCCTTTTTATTTGTTTTTCCTCATTAGATCACGAGCGTGTGGCCCTAGGCAATGAAGAAGGCCTTTACGTGATTCATGTCACCAAAGATGGTAAGCATCTCTGTTTGTATTCTACATGTCGCTGCTGTCGGAGGAAAACCTCAGATCTCCAAAATGGTAACTTTACAGGAGAAGGAAAAAACCTACTTTACTTTTAATGTAAGTCAATGGAACCAGAGTTTTTTCCAAGTCATTTTGGGACGTTTCTTTTGGTCCATTCTTCATGAAATTTACATACATTGTAAATAGCAACAGGTACTTTCAAATTATGGCAAAAACTGGAAAACGTCAAAAAAGGAGATACGAGGTTTTCTTCCGACAGCAGCGATATGCTGTGCTGCAGCATTTGACAATTTATGTGAATTAAAAAATACATATAAAAATAAAATGTACAGCAAATATACATCTAACGGTTTGTGACATATTTATTGTTCCTTATTCGTACTAGGGCTGTAGTCGTTAACAGTTGGTTGACAGTCAGTTGTGAAAAAAATTTGGCACGTCATTTTATTATTGACACATTCGCTTCAAAATAAAGGTTTTTATTGCTCTATAAGATTGAAATGCATACAGTCATTCTGATGGAGTACACAAAGCATTAGGGGACCAGATGCCTCTTACTGTTTTTCTTTCTTTTTATTTTTTGCAACATAAAAATGAGGTGGAGCTTTAATTGTTAACAGTAGCAAAGGCAGAGGAACTGAAGATCCCATAATAGTTAGCAGAGCTGATTGAAAAAAACAGGTTAATCAGTTAATTTACAACCGTTTTCTTTGAATTCAAAGGAGCTTCAATAGAAAGTCCTGCTACCACCCACACAGTGCACTAAAGAGGTTTTGACCTGTTGTATACATTAATAGTGGATATGGTAAAAGACATAAATGTGTTTATCTGTACATAATCTTTCACTCTCGTTCCCCGCTCAGAGATCACCCGTGTGGGCGACAACAAGAAGGTGCATCATGTGGACCTGCTGCCCACTGAGCAGCTGCTGGCCGTCATCTCCGGCAGGAACCGCCATGTGCGGCTGATCCCCATGGCCGGCCTGGACGGACGTGAGACTGACTCCTTCAAGCTGCCTGAGACTAAAGGCTGTCAGGCCCTGGTGTCTGGAACGCTGCGCAATGGCGCCCTCACCTGTTTGTGTGTGGCCATGAAGCGTCAGATCATCTGCTACGAGGTCATCAAGAGCAAGGCCCGCCACCGGCGCCTCCGAGAGATCCAGGTAACTGGAACCGTGAGGGTTTATTACTACGTTCACAGCAGTAATGAAGACTTGAAGAACAGCAACAGAGAGCATATTCAAATTACAAATTATTGTATGTGAAAATATTAGTGGTTTTAATAAAGTTGGCTGTAGATAGGCAGGTGGGTAGGTAGGTGGATGGGTAGGTAGGTAGGTACTTTATTGATCCCGAAGGAAAGTGAGCAGCCAGTAGCAGTCACACAACACAGGACTGTAATAGTAATAAGGGTGAAACAATATCAAAACAAGAATAAATACCAAAAAAAAATATATTTTTGTATATATACACATATATACAAATAGAAATATACAGAAATCTGCAATAGGATCTATAACCTGAGATGTAAAAGGCAGTGCAATAATGACTGTACAAGGAGGCGCAGGTCACAGCATATGATGACAATACGGAATAAATACATACAGATATTGGTACTGAAATAAAGTGTCCAGGTGTGGAGTGTCCAGATGTGCAAGATGTAGTGTAATCTCAGTAGGTTTTGTGATCGTATTATAAAAACTCATACTTTGAGACCCGACCTGAACGGGCCCAACTGCCAAACCGGACCTGAACCCGCTCACATGCACCAACAGAGATTAGGCTTCTCACTGACTCGGTTTTACAGAGCTTTACTTTGTTACTAAGCACACAGGTTAACTGGCTGCAAACAACATGCTGGGATAAACTGGTGTTTTATGCATCTGTAACACACTAACAGTATTTGCTATCAGTCTATGTTTGTGGAATAGCTGATTTTCCATGGCAGAGAACAGCATCCACCACATTAGCCCCACTGCTAGAGTTCCTCTCAGTTCCTTTTGAACTTAATCCCCAGTTTCATTCAGGGGCATGTTCACCCTCTCCTCAAAGTCTGGAGCTGTTCAGAATGCAGCTACATAATTTCTGTAGGCATATTCTTTCAAATAAAAACAAATCTATTACATGAAAAATCACTAATTAGAAAACAAAACAAACCCGACTGGGGTCCCGACCTTTCACAACTCACGGCCTGCACAAATAACAAAAGTTTTCACTGCCCCCAAGACCATTTAACTGGCCCACTCATTTCAAATGCAAACAAATATAACACAGTTCATGTAGCCTATCAGATTTCACTTCACTGTATAATCACACAACATAATAAACACCTGAAAACAATTTCTGTTTGTAGCCATTTATTCATGATGTATGAATTCCACACAGTCAAAAAAAGTCTACATAATGATTTACGTTCTAAATCTGTAACTATTTTTGATAAGTTTTTGGAAAGACTAACAGCTATAATATAGAAAACACATTTTTATTTCTGTAATAAAGGTGGTATTAATCATAACAGCATGGGTATTACTTGTTTGTGTTTAGCCCAGCACCAACAACATACATCATAAAAAAAAAGAAAATATTGAAGAACTGGCAAAAAAGGGCTGCTAGCAGTATCACCACGGCCTACAGGTGGAAGCCTGTGCCCAGCCTGAAAGCCAGTATTTTTCCTGCAAGGCTCTAAATGTTTATAATACCAAAATGGTACGAAATGCAGTATATAGGTCAGTTAGTGACTTACATACTTAGTGTCCTGTTTTTCTGCCCTGCATGTAGAAGAATTCCTCTCTCACCTCCCTCCAATTATTCTTGTACCAGGTGCCAGGAGTGGTTCAGTGGATGGCACTGCTGAGTGAGCGTCTGGTTGTGGGCTACCAGGCGGGCTTCATACGCTACAGCATGCACTCAGACTCTCCTCCAATCAGCCTCCTTCACCCCGAGGACCACACGCTGGCCTTCATCGGGCAGCAGGGCCTGGACGCTCTGTGTGCCGTGGAGATCTCCAGCAAAGAGCTGCTGCTGTGTTTCAGCTGTTTGGGTGTGTATGTGGACACACACGGCCGACGCTCGCGGCAGCAGGAGCTGATGTGGCCTGCGGTCCCCACAGCGTGCTGTAAGTGCATCACAATAGCTCACTCTAGTCTTGATCTGTAGAAGAGGATTGGCCGGTGTTATGGAAATGCTTACTAGTCCCGCCTCGGTTTTAATCACTGTTAGTCGCTAAAAAACATCTAATTTCGCTACATATTTGGATTTGAATGAAGCTAAAAGGTTGTAGTTGGTATTATGCACATAGGTTGCTAGCTATTGCTCACTTCTAGCCTGTTCGGGTGAAGTATTACTTGAATCATAATTCAGAAATCATTCTCCTCCCATACCATGTCATTTCACGTAAAACACGTTATCGGGGAGGTTCTCTGAGCTAGCTGAGCGTTACGTTTGATAACAGGTGGCCCTGGTGGGAAGGGGGCATTAAACATGATGGTATTGATTAATATTTGTCTCTGTCTGCTGGTGCACGGTGAGTTAATCTAAAATGAAAATAATTTTTTAAGGCAGGTAAAAGTCATTACATTTTGATGGCAACAGCCCCCAGTGACAGTTAAAAGCTTACTTACTGCCAGTTAAAAAAAAGTTCATTTATTTACTTTTGTAAATTTTTTGTAAAATTTATTTTGTGCAAACCATTTCAAGACGACAGTATTACAACGTGTAAACTGAACTTTTAACCATTGGGTGATATCCTACATATCAAAACTCTTACATGATATATATCATGTTTATAGTACCTAGCACAGATGAGATTATTCTAGAAACGCATCTGAGCTGGTTAAACATGCTGGCAGATATCAGGCTTGTACAAAAAGCCGCCTCTATGACTGTGTACATTTCAGAGCATCCTCACACCACAGTGCCAGGTTTCAGACTGAGAGACAAGTTTCATCATAGGACGAACACATAGGTAAAAACATGTCTCAGCTCTCGTTCATCAGGTGAAATGGATCGTTTCAAACGGCTTTAGGCGAAATGGCTTCAGAGAAGTCGGAGTCAGGCTAAGCATCCCAAACTCTCAGACAGTAAAGTTTGTGACATTCACAGTTCTTTCTTACTAGATTAATGACAGTTTTGTGGCCAAACTAGGGATGACAGTATACTACAACGACTTTTGCTGAACTCGTGCATAATTTTCTTTTGTTTGATAAAGATTATGACTCAGTTTACATGATTTCACTGTTTCTCCCTCACCAGCTCCAGTGTATATACAGGTCGAAACACTAAAAAAAAGGGGGAAAAGCTGTTTATCACCATTTTTCGCGCTGTTACTCAAATAAGAGGGATGAATTGTGCTTAATATGACCAGGAATATATCCTCGCTTTTGGCTCAAATTATCCACCTTCCTGAGAAATCCTGCTTTTGGAAATAGTCACCTGGTGTCTGAAATCAATAAGTTTCAGACTTAGTATGCAGTTCCTTCTTAACACCATTGAAAGAAAAGAAACAACAGAGGCAGACTTGATCATAGTTATGGTCAGGTTGGTGATGGAGTGATTTGTGGGTACATTTGCTATATGTGGCTCTGCTTGTGAACAGGTTTTGTAGGTGTTTACTTTTCTGCTTAAGATCTTGTAGGACGCATTTACAGCTTTATCTGACTGAAACTTAAAAAAAACAAGTGAGTCAGGTGAATGTGTGGCTGAAAGTTGCTCATTTGTTGTATCAACTGAACATGCTGCAGGCTACAGCGCCCCCTACCTGTCGGTGTACAGTGAGAACGCAGTGGACGTGTTTGATGTGAACACAATGGAATGGATTCAGACCATCCCTCTCAAAAAGGTTAGACAAACTGTATTTTGATGACAAAGTTGTACTGAAAATGCTGTAGTTCTAGTTCTGTTCTAGTACTTTATTGAACATTACACTGCCTTCAGGGGTCACACCAGAAACTGCGTAACTTCAGGGCAGTTTTGTTGAAATGTAAATAAGTCAACACATCCTCTACAGCCCATGTGTCAAACACAAGGTCCGTGGGCCAGATCAGGCCCGTGACACAATCCTATCTGGCCCACAGACGTCTTTCAGTTTTCTATTAATATTAGCCTGTTTCACAATGCGCTGCACTACAGTCCCGCAACGTAATGTGTGCTCTGACTCTCCTACCCCAACAACAATCTATGGGACAGCAGTTACACTTCAATTCTACACAGTTCTACACCAGTCATGTCACCATTCATATATTTTACTGCTCAAGATTTTGCGTATTCTGAATAAACAATGGCCAGTTCAGGTCACAGCACAACGTTAATTAAAAATAAAAAAAAAACGTTTTTTTCTCTGGCCCACAGATTTGTTGAGATTTGGCCCCTTTAGTGGTTTAGTTTGACACCCCTGCTCTACAAAGAACACACTGTATTTTAATACACAGAGAACATATTGGGAAACAAACTAAACATAAAATGTGGTCTTTGCAAAAGTTTTGACACATTATATTGCGTTTTCTTTTTTTAAACATGTTAAGCTGAGCATGTAAATAGAAATTTTGCTCTAAATTATGCAAAAAAATGCCATATTCAACTATGTTCTCTGTTGATCAGAGGTCTTTAATTAAATTTCAATAAGGCCCAGTCAAAGAAAATTTCCTCAAGCAAAAGTCCGGAACATCACAATGTCTGACTTGCATTATGATTCAGTGCCATATACTGTTTACTGAAGTAGCCTAGTAGTTAAATCAGTATCTTATGTAGTCGACAACTGAATATCAAATCAAATAAAGTACAATTCAGTCATATTTCAATAATCTTTATTGTCAGTTTTCTCTTTTTAGAGCCATATAAAATAATCTGGCTCACTTTCTTCTCCGACTGCTGTGTCTCGCCTCGTCCCTCCCCTCACTCACTCGAGTCTCAGTGCTCAATGTAATGCACAGATCTGATTGGCTGAGTAGCGTCACGTGATATTTACACCGCATACAATTGGTCTGTGAGTCTCCCGGGCCGCTAAAGCCGTACTGTAAATGCTAGAAAAATTATGCAGATTAAAATAGGACCACCACGTCGAAATTAAATAATTCTCCTCAGTTTATCGGTTAAAGGTCCAGGTACGTACAGGACAGCGTCTGGGTCCGGACTCGGACCGCGGACTGCCTTTTATTGACCTCTGCTGTAGAGGGTGTGCTGTTTTTATGAACAAAACATAATTTGACTGGAAGTATTCAGATTTTTGCATATGACTGTAGCTGTAACAATGACTTAAAGCTTTCTTTAAAATCAATAAATAAATATAGAATAAATCAATAAGCCTTAATAAACGCATATGATAGTTGATTCCAAAGTTCTGTGTGGTTGAAAGTGTACGTGAGAAATGATGGGTTGTGTCCTGGCACAGGTTCGGCCGCTGAACACAGACGGCTCTCTAAATCTGCTGGGCTTAGAAACAGTGAGGCTGATCTACTTCAGAAACAAGACTGCAGGTATGAGCAACACCAGCTGAACCTTGGATTAATCTTCGTGGACTGTTTTGATTTGGAGTGTTGAGTGTCTGAGGTGTGTGTCTGAGGTGTGTGTGTCTGAGGTGTGTGTCTGGTCTGTAATCTCTGGGTGTGTGTCTCAGAGGGAGATGAGCTGGTGGTGCCGGAGGTGTCGGATAACAGCCGGAAGCAGATGGTGCGCAGCATGAACAACAAGAGACGCTTCTCTTTCCGCATACCTGAGGAGGAGAGACTGCAACAAAGGAGGTGCACACACTCTCACACACTCACACAGGCACTCACAAACTCAGCACACACTCAACATCTGTCTCATTTACTCCGAAAGCTTTACACATGTCATGGGGCTTACTGCAGAGCAGACTGTCATTTGTGACGATCTCTGCTTCACATTCTCTCAGGGCCTAACCCAATTGTTTTCATCATTTGTAGTATAAGTATGCATTACATAGCACAGTGTAAAAACAACACTATCCATTTCACACAGACTTTGATTCAGCGTAGGTGCCAACCAGTGCTCCCCCAATCTTAGCGCAAAGCTCGAGAAAAGGTAGTGAAACTGCACAGAACAGTCTGCAAGCAGGTGCTGTAGTGAAACTGCATTTAACAGTTTTAATAGAAAAGTGAGGGCATTATAAATATGTAGAGTCACTATATTAACCGAAAAATGTGGCTTTCTTCTTTTTTTTAACGCAGCTGCTGAAAAAGGTTTAATACTTTAATTGCAGTGAGTAGAAAATGAAAATAAATTGTCTTATGAAAGCATCTGGATCCTAGTGTTGAATACCTGGCAACCTACAGACGCATAGACTGATTACGTCACATAGCAAAATGTAAAACACTATTCATTTCACGCAGAATGAGACAAACCCAAAGAACTCAAAGCCTGCAATTGCGGGCAAAACAGTCACTTTTAGCCTTCATAACTTCAGAACGGTTTAAGCTACAGACATGATACACATATCAAACCTTTCAGCAGACCCGGTGTTAACTAGCCATCATGACATCATCGAGCTGTGACGTTAGCATCAGTGAGTAATTTGGCTTGGAAAATCACCCAAAATCCTGAAATTACTGTTCTGCTTTTAGCCCTCATATTCCAACAAAGGGTTAAAACAGCAACATGATTCACACATCAGGTCACTCATCAGACTCTGCTTCACCATCCAGAGTGATTTCATCCATCTGTGACCATCCATCAGCCAGCAGTCCAGCTCCAAAATCACCCAAACCCCACTCACTACTGTTATACTACATCTCTGCTTTTAGCCTTCATATTATAAACAAAGGGTTAAAATAGCGACATGATTTACACGCCAGAACACTCAGAGGAACCTGACCTCACTAGCCAGAGTGAGAGACACCAGCTCTACCATCACACAAACCAGAAATACAGCTCAAACACACAGCCAGATCACTGTAAAACCTGCTATTAGCTCTCTGCTTTAGCCTTCATATGGCAACAAAAGGGTTAAACACCACTGATACTAGTAGTAACTATATTCACACACAAGTCAAAGCCTGAAAGCATCTTTATAAAGAGGAATTCCACAATTAAAATAAAAATCTGCGTAATTCAGGCCCTGAGATGTAAAAGTCATTCAGAGTGGTTTGATATGAAATGGTTGATTGTAGAGAAACTTACTGACTCATATTTCTTTACAGTAGTGATAATAAGAACCAGGAATCACAATGTCTGCATTGCAGAAATAGCCATTTAATTTACTACCCGAAAAGACAACCTACATGTGTCTTCTGAGCTCTATATGTAATGTTGATGATGGTAAAATAGTTGTAACTCTAAAAAAAATAAGTTTTCTTTGGGGACTATTTTGCAGTGCCCCACCTGTCCCTCTCCATCATAAATGGTTTCAAAAATCTGTTAATAAATAAATAAATAATTAAATACATACATACATACATACATACATACATTCATACATTCATACATTCATTCATTCATTTATTCATACATGCATGAATAAATAAACAGTGTCTCAGATATCAGGCAGCATATTCATAACCATTTCATGCAGTAGTTTTCTGGGAGCTTTGTAGCTTTTTGGGCCGTTAAAAGGTTCCAGATGTCCGGTTCCCATCACCACCACTGTGAACAATTCTGACTCTGTAAGTTTCTGTAGAGCAGAGCGTTGAACCTAATAGGTTCAATATATCAATGGACTGTTCCCCATTCATCATTGGTCAGTTGCTGACCACAGGACTGCTTTTGATCATGTATTGTTTGGGTGGTGGACCATTCTGAAGAGTGACACTGACAAGGTAGCTGCATGACAGTCTGTGGCGTAATACAAATCAGACAAAGCAGTGTTGCTGGAGTTTTTACACACGTCAGTGTCACTGCTAGGTTAAGAGCGGTCCACCCCAAAAAATCCTGTGGTTAGAAACTGAGCAAGGTGGATGTACAAGGTTAGCTATTAATAAATGGAATTCAATCATGCTGAGTAATCCGGAATTGCTATGAGTCATTTTTAGCAGGATTAGCATTCCTTAGCATTTCTAGCCCCTTTTCCTTTGTAACGGCGCTTTTTTTATCCTAATCTAACTTTTAATTTTATGTTTGATTATTTAACTATCCTAATTTCATTTCTTATTTGATTTTTAATGATTTCCTATTTTAAATTTATTGTGTTAATCATGTTTTACTAATGTTTTAATGTTGTTTTCAATTATGTTTCTCTATTCGCGTTTACATTTTTTAACCTCCTCAACTCCTGGAGACCACCAGGTTCCAAAACACATTTCGTCATATTCTTCATAACTTTCATATTTCATAAGCTACATTCAGAAGGTGGGGGTCGTATGAGAGCTGTAACTGTCTTCTTTCCAGTCAAATAGATGGGTGATGTCATTTTAAACCCTTACAATAAAAGAAGCTGAACTTATTTTTTTTTTTTTGCAGTTACTGAATAATTTGCCTTATGATTTGGTCATGTAAATTCAGAAAAACCAGATATACCCTGGTCAGTAATTCTGTATTTTTTTCATTTGTAAAGCATGTTGAATGACAGCAGTAGGAAAGGTGATTTATAAATAATCTTGCCTTGACTTTTTTTTTGGTGAAGTGTTCCACTAATGTGTGATGTCTTACGTGTGACTTCAGAGAGATGCTGAGGGACCCTGAGAAGAGGAACAAGCTGATCTCAAACCCAACCAATTTTAATCATGTGGCTCACATGGGACCTGGGGATGGCATCCAGATCCTAAAGGATCTGCCCATGGTGAGCACATCAGCACTCACAGTACTGCTTCTACATTCATAACAGCCTTTCAGTACAGGCAGTGTGGACATGTTGTATCAGTGGTGGACATTCATCAGATTTCACACAAGCTCTTTCATCAGTCCTGCTCACATGTGTTGTATGTCTGTTCTTGTTTGTCTCTTCTGTCTGTCTTTCTGTGTGTCTCTGCGTCTGATCTGTAGAATGTGCGCGCTCAGGAGAATCGGCCTGGTTTCAGTGGCTCAGTCAGTATCCCGTCCATGGCTAAAACCCGGGCCGAACCGGGCCGGTCCATGAGCGCCAGCAGTGGTCTGGGCATACGTGAGTACTGCACTCCAACACACACAGACCACTTCCTACACCTATTCAACCCAGTGACTGAGGCACTAAAAGACTACCTGTATATTTTGTTTACTTTGAGTTTTGCAGTAAAAAAGATGAATTTACTGTTTTCAGTTATTGCTCATCTAGGCTGGCTGATATATGGAATATTTCTTAGATATTTGCAGGGATTATTTGGAGATTCAAAAAAAAATTGGAAACCTCAAATTTTTTATGACATGTAAAGTGACCAGATAGTACAGTGCAGTGGTTCCCAACCCTGTCCACATTTTTCCTTCATCCTTGTGTTGTGAGTTGGGTTGGAGCAAAAAAAGTGGACCGCCTGGGCACCCTGAGGACCCGGTTGGGAACCGCTGCTATTGTGAATAACACCAGTGCTTTGCGCACAGAAGAGCAAGGTTCAGTTCCCCATTCAGGAGGGGATACAGGAAAGATGTTTTGGATAAGAGGGTCTGCTGAATATGCAGATGTACTGAAGTCTATGATTGGAATGGTTAAGATTTAGTACCACTGGGGGAACCCCCACCCCCCCCACCCCCCCTCCCGTGCAGGTATACGGCGTACTACCACGTCAATCTTACCAGAATTTCATGCCGAGCTTATTCGTGTAAGAGTGTACATGTAAAAAGGGCTTCACTGTCTCTCTCAGGTTCCTCTTCGCAGAACGGCAGCGCTCTGAGGAGGGAGCTGTCGAGCGGTAGCTACAGCTCCAAGCGCCAGACCATGACTTCTCCGTCTGAAAGCTCACTGTCCTCAGGTGGGGGTATGGATATTGGAGATGCGCCGCTGTCCCAGTTCGACAGAGAGGTGAGTCCACCTCAGATTGAGAAAAGTCCGATTTTCATGCTCGCCATTCCAGAAAGCCATGGTTAGCCATGCCTGCTTAGCATTGCATCAGCAGGGAAAAAGTGGAAGTGCTTACCATCCAATTAGATTGAATGGCACAAGCTTCTCTAATTAAAAAAATGAAAATGGGATACTTATTGCAGGTTGAATACTACCAGTGTAGCTCCATTTAAAAAAGTGACTGTGATAAAGTACAATTGTTGTTTTAATAGTAAGACAGACTGCTTTAACCCCCTAAACTGCAAAGATGTATTTGGCCCCACGGTTTGATTCTTCATTCTCATATCTACATAATATATAGTAGTTACTGAATAACAGACCTGCAGCTTACAGGGTTAACACGTCTATATGATGTTACACAACTCTGTCTTAGCAAACCAAGTAGCTGTCAAAAAGCTCTCCAACAGTCTTCAGACTGAACTGCTCGCATCCCAATCCCTAAATACCATTTCCTAGCGCACAAGCCAGCTCGCGAGACCCCTGTTCTGGCAGTGAGGCCTGCATGGCATTCATACGAGGCCCAGGAGTGTTTCTTCAGCTGCAGAAGCTTCACCCAGCCTAGCCATGCAGCAACAGCCATGCCTGCCTGTCTGTTTGCTCAGTGATTCCTAACCCTGGTTCAGAAGTACCCTTGTCCTGCACATTTATTTTTTTTATATTTAAAATTTAAATTTAGAAATGATTGCTCTATGAAAGACAGAAACATCAATTAAATATTAATTAGTAACATTAAATAAAATTGGTAGCATTACTGAGTGTGTACATGCACTTGTAAAGCCTAAATGTCAGCTCTGTCAGGTTAGTTTTGGGTTTTATATATATATATATATTCAGTGAACCATACAGATCTTTCCGTTTTGTTCAAAGCTTGATTTGAAAGACTCTACAAACTGACCTGCACTCAGGCTAATTCAGTACAGATTCAGCCTAACGTTACTGCTCAGCCCCTGATAAGCTGATTCAGGCTATTAAAATATTCTAATTATTATTTTAATGCTATCATTTTCTGAGGACATTTTCTCAGGACATTTACCAGCTTCTTGTTCAACTTCTCCCATTCCACCTTAAATAGTGCAGCAGTTACATTCTGAACTGCTGCGGCATTTAAGGTGGAACGGGAAAATTCTAACAAGCAGCCGGAAAAGAAGAAGCTAAATTCAGCCTCGTAGTTTTAACACTGGTAGTACTTTTTGACGAGGAATTTTAGGCTATCAAAATACACACCTACATAGAGGTTTTATTTATTTGTATACCTGTAAATCTGCTCTACAATAGGACATTTCGATAAGGTAGCACAGCTCATCAGAGCACCGCCACAGCCTGTACTTTCGTGTATCTTAGTGACATCAAATTTATGCGCAGTAACTTAAGCTTCCATGTAGCAATATTCATATTCTGACTCATTAACGACCTCGTAATTCAGAGGATCCAGTGGTATTCGGGAGAAAAATGTACACAGGACAAAACGTATCAGGCTCTGAACATGTTTATGTAACACAGGGAGTGACGGCGGCGATTTTTCGAAAACCCCATTCATTCTGGCCATCGAGAAATCAAGCTTAGACACAGAGTTTCTAATATGGACAAAACACGGACTACAGAATGACGCACAACTACAGGACTATGAGCTAACATTAACATTAAAGCTAACAAGATCTAACGTAATGTCGAATGGTGAGAGGAACTTGCTTTACGTAATGTGTTTTTCTTCTGAGTGGACAGTATATTCGTTTGTAGAGGCAACACTGAGAACCGAGAAATATCTTCCTATTGTTTCAGGTCCCTTTAAGTGTCCGCTATTGTGGTTAGTAAAATACGCCGCTCTACTGTAGACTTTTAAAGCCTTGGCTTCTGCCAACGTTCCTCGACACGCTCACACTAAGGCTTTGTGAAACTGACGTTCACTGCCCCAGACTACACGCCTGATGCTCCATTCATTTGCTGAACATAAAGGACATTTCAAAATAGCAAAACCGGTTGTCCAGTCCTGCTGGGGAACGTATCGATACGAGCAGTTTATTCTTCTACAAGACAAGTATCCAAATCCCCAAACCTACATAGTGCTGGGGTAAATAGGGATTTTTTTGGACCTGGTGTTTTACAGCCAGGAATGTGCAGGGCAAGGGGTACTCCAGGACCAGGACTGGAAATCCTCTCAGTGTGGCTTCCATCCCGCCCCATCCCTCTCAGGCCAATAAAATAGCTTCCGCTGGGCCTCATCTCAGATCACCCACGCTTATCCGTGCTACACCCTACATCCCCATACCACAACACCTAGTACCTCCTTCCAACCCTTTCTGAGCATTCCCCAATGTGGAAGCCAGTCTCTGGCTCTCAGTGTGCCTTTCCTCCCCTGTGGCAGGCCGTGTCGCCCTCGGAGAAGACGCCCGATCTGAAACGGGCGTTAAGGACCCTGCTTAGTAAAATGAAGGTAAAGTTTTCACACTTGCAGCCAAAGCACACACGCATTTTCTCTGTCACCTGTACAATCGGACGCATCCGCAGAGAGCTTCCCCCACCAGCACTGCCATTATTTTGCTCTGGTTTGAGCCGTTCCAAAGCCCTCAGCCTCTGTCTATAGTCCCCTGAAGCACCTGACACTAGTAGGATCGAGGATCTCCAGCTTGCACAACTTTGTAAATTTCCATTTTGGAATGGCAAGGTTCTGTCAGCATGCGCCTCCATACCTGTGCATCAAACGCAACAAGACAGAACCACACAGTAAGGAAGGTCTGGAGTAGTTAAGTCTGTTCTCACAGTAACTGAACGCATCCATGGCTTCTGCATGTATTTTAAAGCTCACTATTTTATGAGGCATCAGGAGCAACTTCAGCACTTCAAGAACAATTCATCTTCCTTTTGGCATTCACAAAGTGGTCATCCTCAAAAACACTGATTCTGAAGATCTCGTATCTCCTTTTTGATGTTTTTCAGTTTTTGACATAATTTGAAAATACCTGTTACCCTTTACATTGTATGTAAATTTTATGATGAATGGACCAAAAGAAATGGCCCAAAATGACTTGGGAAAAAGTCTGGTTCCATTGACTTACATTAAAAGTAAAGTAGGTTTTTTCCTTCTCCTGTAAAGTTACCATTTTGGAGATACAAGGTTTTTTCCAACAACAGCGACATGTTTTTAATAAAGGTTATTCGTCCTTGCTATTGTTGCAAAGTGCCCTATTCCCAAAAACACCAATGAGTGATACCTCACTAAACTCATGCATTGTAAACATGGCATAGCAGATATTAGATTAATAAAGTAATTATTCTTAATGTCTGAAATGTACTTTCAATGATTATATATAATGTAAATTTATGTGAAATAGCAGTGTCAAATTTGTTCATTACATTAGAATATTTTTTGTTTAAGAAAAATCGCTCTTAAATAGGAGCCGTTTTTGTAACTCTTTTACAGAATACTATTTATGGCTGTTTAATAAACAGTATTTACTTTTGATGATATGCTCTGCATTCTGAACTTGATGTTGCCCGAAACAGTATGAGCAGATATTTCTCCGAGCACTGTAATTTTGGGTTATATTAGTAGGTCTGCTGTGTTTACGAGGCTTACGAGAGTGAAGATCAAAGCAGTGAAGTATCAGTGTTACAAAAGATTTAGCTCTGGGTCTTTATGTATGAGGTGTTTCAGAGTGAGAGCATTGATCCAACGTCCACATAATCCTTTCCACCTGGATATTAAAGGGAATTCTGGATCAGCATTCTGCCTTGCTTTCATGCATATGAACCCTGAGCTCAAATATTTGTAAGACCTCTGCATGCGCAGGTAGAGGCTTCACCACCCCATTCACTCGTTTGTAGGTGTGTAAAATGTAGCTGTATTGTTTATAGTTTACTTCTTATACTTATATAGTAAACACTTGTTTCTTTTTACTGTAGATGCAGCACTGCGTTGTCTATATGCTGATTTCAGGTCTCAGATTGTAGCAGGCTTTGAAAAATATCTCCATCATACTAATAAGCAGATCTCCTTTAACACCTGAAAATGCAGGCAGTTCTATGTGGCCCACGTCACTCATGACTACATGCATAACTTATAATACAATTTGATACATATTAGTATCAGAAGTGAAAAAAGTACAGAGAAACTGAACTTGAGTGAAAGTATGGGTACTGTAAAACTGTACTGAAGTAAAAGCCAGAACATAAAAAACTACTTGATTAACCCTTGTGTGGTGTTCAGGTCTGTGGGACCCATTTTCAGTGTTTACCAAGAGAAAAAATGATGTGATTTATTATAATTTCAGCCTCAGATTTCTTGGTCTTTGCTCATTTTCTGTGAAGAGCATATAAAATAACCCATTTTCAGTGTCTTCACTCTGTTCACCCCCCACACATTTATATTACACATGTGGTGTTGGGTGAACCCACGGGGAGTAAAAGTGTGGAGGTGCTGTGACTCTGTGTTCTCCTCCTACATGGCCTTCAGTGTGTGTGTGTGTCTGTGTGTGTGTTTGTTTGTATATGTGTGTGTCTGTATGTGAGGGTGGACAACATGGACAGGCTGCTGACTGGCTACAGCTGCTAAAGGAGAACCCTACACTGGCCACTTGTGATATTTTAAACATCTGGTATTTTTACATAAATTGTTATGGCTGTAAAAACAATAATGTTGTGGGTCCACCAGACCACTGAGTAACAAACACATCAACACCACACAAGGGTTAAGTGTCAAAAGTATTGAGATTTAGATATAAAATATAAAAGTAAAAATAAATGTTTTCTTCATTTTCTTTGCAACTCAACTGATTAATATGAAAGTATCCCATTTTTTGAGATTTGTTTCTAGTACTTCGAAGGTCAAAATGATTAAAATGCACGTTTTTTTTCTAGTGGACATGTAATTGAGTAAAAGTCCAAGTATTTCATTTTAATAATACTTGTGTAAAGTACATATATTCTATAATAACTCTTTAGTACAAGTACTCAAGTATTGATTAGCATCATAGTTTCTGAGTTACTGGATAACAAGTCTTAAAGTTGATGACTGAGTGAAAAGCCTGCAGTATAAAAGAATGCAAGACATTGTGCAACTGAAAGCAGCATGTATTCCTCTCCGTTAACACTGCGGTTCTCTTTAAGGTTCTAACGTTGGTGTTTCTGTTTGGTGTTGCAGGATTCGGACTCACCGCGTCACTCCACTGCCTCCAACAGCTCCACCTTCAGCAGCCCGCCGAGCCCCGCCTCCCCACACAAGACCAAGTCTCTCTCGCTGGAGAGTACAGACCGTATGGCCTGGGACACATGATAGACAGCAGCTTGAGACCAATCACAACATGCCCTGGCCCAGCCTGCCACAGGCTCCTCCCCCCATCCCTGCCCATGGAACTGCACCTGGTGCTACAGGCCCCTCCCACTTCATTCTGCAAGAGGTTCTCAGTTGAGGAAAAGATGCGGGAGAGGATGCTGGACTGTCAGTGGGGGTGGCGTCTGCGTGTGTCTGTGTGTGTGTGTGTGTGTGTGTGTGTGTGGCCAGGGCATAAGTTGGAATGAATAGGACCCTCTACATGTGGCGTGAAGCTGACTGGTGAAAAATTTAAGCTTCATAGCGTCACTGGCTGGACTTCAGCCCTCCCAATCCAGGCAACGGTCACTGCTGCAAAGGGGGATTTTATCTAGACTGGCATTTGTATATAGACTGGGGTTTTCGGGGGGTGAACTTATTTATTTCTAGCTATTAAAAAAACAGTATCATTTCCCTCATTTTCTTCTTCAACTGTGGACCATAACGACAGCTGCATTTGTGGGGGAACAAACAAACAAACAAAAAAAAAGACCAAAATACGGCAGCGTATATTTTCTTCGCTATAGAAAATAATTGGTGCAGAGACTTCTAGTTGGCTCCAGCTTTCTTCGTGATACGCTCTCGTCATCACCTCATTACTTGCATTACTTCCTTCTGTAGACTCTCTAGCATCTCTAATAGCTTTCTGTTTCAGTTTATCTCCACATTTTGAGTTTGACAACACAATCAAAATCTTCCACAAAGCGCCACTGACCTGTGAAACCACAGAGTTCCATCGCAAAGATGTACATAGGCTAAAAGTATAGTATAATATATAATAAGGAAATACTGTAGAGGAAAAAACAGAGGAAGCTTTTTTTTTTATTTAAAATTGTTTTGATGCACCCATGCCAAGGTTATTTTAAATTTTATTTGCTTTGTTGTATTTTGACCATTTTTTTTTTAATTTGACTCTTGAAAACTTTGTTTTACCATTGAAGATTTTTGTGAGAGTCACGTTGCTAAATGTTTAACCTGCAACACAAAAAAAAAACCGAAGCGTCTCTTTGCTCTGATGTTATTTTCTCTATTGTAAGAGATAGCAATATGTATTACCTGAAATGAGATTACGACACGCAAATACATCTGTATTTTGCCCCCCACAAGAAAGAAGAGTGTGTGAGAAAAATGTCTGATGCAGTTTTGTCAGTCTGTTAAGTTTTATTCCCAAAGATATGGAACAATGTAGCTTCTCAGAAAACGTCTTTGTGTGGGGAAACAGTATTTTTGATCCTATTTAATTGCACATTCATACCACTTTACTGATTGTGAACGTCACTGTTATACTTCATTATGACAGATATAAAGTGTAAGCTGGCCGAGGATGCTCTTTCATCTCCCTGCACAACTTTGTTGTCCTTAAAATCTTTGCCTTGGTGTTTAAAAATAAAGCCTCCGACGACCGTTTCCGATGGTTTTGATATTGTATTATATGTTTAGCTCCCTGGAGAGGGGTAATTATGGGACCATGGGTGGAACCCTTCATTAAATTCCCCACTGAATAATGTTTAGATTTGCACTCTACGAAGGTCTTAAGATTTGGACACAAACTTTCTTTGTAGCTCTGGTTGGTTTATGGTTTGTACTTGCCAGAATGTTGTTAGTCATGTATGCCTGTCTTCTCCTTTCCATGTTAACAATCTCTGAGGCCTGAACGAAGTTCTTGGGATTTGTGCTCCAGTGCAATCTTCACTTTATCTGTAGAAACCAACGCATACAGACTGCTGTAAAATCTCCAGTCTTCTGTTTTTATGACTGAAGATGGAATCTTTCAACAAAACCGATCACTTCCAGAGGCTCATCAACTGGCTTTCAACTCAGGATTCTCAATGTCATTCCATCTGCAGCTGAAGCTAACATGTGAAAGAACATACCGGGCAGCTGTTACCCAAATGCAGTGATGTTTAGTGATGCACACGGGGAACACGGGGGCCGTTTAAACAGTCAGCCAGAGAAGCCAGTCCATTATAAAATGCTTCTGCGTTTCAGTGGATCTACGTTACCTTTGATGTGCTGTCATATATCACTTTTTTTAGAATATGCTTTGTAATAATTTGTACAGTTTTGCATGTCATAGATGTATTAATTTCTTGGTTTCATTCCATGGTTGTATTACGTTTTTTTCACGTTTTTAGAGGTGGGGGTATGTTTTCTTGCAGAGAGCTCACTACAGGCGATCTTTGTCTTTGTTTTTTTTTTGCACAGAGATATTTAAGACAGAAGGTGGAGCAAATTAATGGATTGAACTGACCACTAAGCAAATGTGGAGAACGTATTACATAACCTGACTCTGATGTAACTCAATAAACGGAGGGAGATGACACGTGCTGGTGTTCTGTTCTACATTAATGCGTTTTGTCAAGGAAAGACTCGAAACCTGTTTCCGGATAGCTGTACAAAAAAGGTCTTTGTTACAAAACTTCACAGTTTACAAAAATGGACACAACCGAAAGAACTACTTTGTTAGTGCTAAGACTGTCAATGAGAAGAATTCAGCTTGAAGATCAGTTTCAGTTTTCCTATTCAGTATTTCTAAAGTGGGAAATAAACCTTTTTTAAAAAATCTATCCTACATCTAAAACAGCAGATACAAACCTCCAACTTTCGAGCTGTTACTGTGATCTGTAACACGCGTGCCAAATGCTTTTCACCAACAAAAACAGGTAGTTATCAACCATTGTTACTCCTGTTGTACTTAAATTGAGAAAAGTCTACTAAAAGTGCAATAACAATGGAACAAGACCTGTTCAGCGTCACAGTTAGAGAGGTTCATTAAAAAAAACAGAAAATTTACACGAACGTTGGGCCTGAGCATAAAGCAGCAAGTGCTTCAACACATCAAGATAATGTATCTAAAGCCCTTACAGTTTTACCCTGTTGATACTGGAGCCCTTTGGTCAGATGGGCCTCGCTAAGTTTCTGCATCCCAAATGGGCTTTGGAAATATGGAAGTCACAGGATTGGAGTGCAATATACAGTTCTACCAAGATTAAGCTCAGTCTTGGTCTCATTATAGTCCACCATCAAAATCCATTTTGTCCAAATGCACCCATCCCATCCTCCTCTGCTGTTTTTAAGGTCCATGTGCTAGAAGATTTAACCTGATATGCATTTTTCCTCCCGTTTTCTCTTCTGCACGTCCTCCGTTTACATCCCTTACAGTGACTCTTAAAGCTCAAGCGGTGGCTCCGTCCTCCTCCATGACGCGGTGGATGCCGTTACCAGGGCCGCTCTGGACTGCCTGCGGTGTGCTGCTCAGGTCCCGGACGCTGCTGTGATGTGACTGGCTGTCCAGGCGCTGTGAGCTGCCGTGCCGTGATTGGCTGTCCAGGCGGTTGGTGCTGCTGTGGTGAAGCTGCTCGTGGAGTCGCTGCGTGCTCCCGTGGGGAAGTCGCTCTTCAGCACCACGGATACTACAGGCTGTGTACCTACATCAGGAAAAACAGTGCAGTGAGAAAGGATTACGGCACGTTTCTGCAGACGTGAATGCTTTTCTATTTTAGATAGTAATATTAATTATACAATTTATACAATTTCCCACTTAGACTATGTTGCTGATCAGACAGGACAAAAGTACACTGTGTAGCAAGAAACAGTAGTTACTACAATCTCTTTAGGCCTGAATTTTTTGTTTGGATTTTTCCCCAATTTTCTCCCCAGTGTAGTTGTTTCCAATTCCCCCCACTAGTTAGGACTCCCCCAGTCACACAATACCACCAGCACTAGGAGGGCGAAGGCCAGCACAGGCTTCCTCCGGGACCTGTGAAGCACCACCGCATCTTTTCGAACTGCCACTCACACAACGTCACTGGACAGCTGAACTCGCTCAGAGGAAAGCGCCAACCGCCAGATCTGTTATGTCAGCTAAAAGACGCCTGCGCTGACTAGCATCACCTTTGGGTAATGGGGGGAGAGGGGGCAGAGAGGGGGGCTTCCTACCCACCCAGAGAGCGAGGCCAATTGTGCTCTCTTGGACTCCCAGCTACGGATGCCTGTAGCATCACCAGGGATCGAACTCGCGACCTAATGACAGAGCCAACATTTAGATGGCTGCGCCACTCTAGAGCTCACTGCCCATTCTGTTGTCCACACTGACATACTGTTATCTATAAAATTACAATGCAGATACATCACAGTGTGCCAGTATTCACCACTACTGAAAATGCTTCTTTTTGCCTTCTTTTATCTTTTTTTTTTTTTCATTAAAATTATCTGGCTCACATTATTTATGTCATAAAATTGCTACACAGATTGGCCAAAATCAAAATCATAAACCTGTCAACTGCTTGTTTGAATTCAAATCTTGGCTGATTCTGATGGTGCACTCCTAATACGCTCTCCAAAAAGAAGTCCTGTCTCTCACCTGCCGTCCCGTGAGCGGTGCAGGCTCCCATGGAAGCTGCTGGCTTTGCTGCGCACACTGCCTGCACGGCTGGTGCTGCCGCTGGCCGGCTCATCCAGCATGGCCAGGTGTGTGGAGGAGGCGTGTGTGGATGTCCCCTGTGTGGAAGTGCCCCGCGATTTTCGGACCACCGGCGCCCCGGGCTCGCGCAGCAGCAGCTGGGTGAAGTCGGGCTCCTGCAGCACCTGCCTGCTCTCGTGCACCGTGCTGCTGGGGACGGGCGTGGTGGAGAGCGTGAAAGAGGGTGATGGCGGGAGGTCGTGGGGAGGCGAGAAGGGCAGGGACAGACGCAGAAGCGAGGGAACAGAGAAGGGGAAGACGGCAGGGCCGAGGGAGGAGGAGAAGGGGGGGATTGAGGAGAGGGTGGAGCAGGGGGTGGGAGAGGGGATTAATGCACTGATACAGGGGGAACCAGGGGTGTGAGAGCGCAGAGAGGGAGGCCTTTTCACTAATGCTACAAACACTCTCACTCATATAAATTTCAGGATTACAGGGGTGAAACACGCTGTGGAATGATTTGCTGGGATGGACATTAGTATATCAGTATATAGTGTATTTGGTCAGCTTTCTGGATGAGAGGGATTATCATAAAAATAGCTCTAGAAAGAGGTAAGTATAATAATTTTCTAGGCCAAATGAAAATTTTTCATAGTCTAAATGACATAATAAGTAACACTCCACCCAGTAATAATGGCTGTCTGCATAAAAATTTAAAGACAAATGTCTCTTCATCTGTCTGATAGACTGTTGGGCACAATAACTTGGGGCAACTATCTGATTATCCATTATCATTCAATCTGATTATCTAGCCTGATTAGCATTTATCACCGACAACTTACCTGGTCATCAAAACCTCCATTTACATGGGTAATGTAGTCCATGAGTAGCTTAAACAGATACTTCATCTAAAAATACTAACATTGCCAATAATTACTTACTGCTAGTGGGGACCAGTTAACATGTGCATAACGTAAACCAGCCCCAGCTGGCATTGTAGTGTCCAGAAAATCAACCACGTATTGTGAATTTCTATTATAAACTGCTTGTGGTCAGTTTCAAGAGACTCACTCTTTTCTCCGGTGGCCGTGGAAGAAACTG